CGAGCAGAGAGAGAGAGAGGAGTGAGCAGAGAGAGAGGGACACGAGCAGAGAGAGAGACGTGAGCAGAGAGAGAGACGTGAGCAGAGAGAGAGACGTGAGCAGAGAGAGAGGGACACGAGCAGAGAGAGAGAGCGCGAGCAGAGAGAGAGAGACGTGAGCAGAGAGAGAGACGCGAGCAGAGAGAGAGAGACGGGAGTCCGCGTGTCTATGGTCCGCGCTCGGAGCCCAGACTGCAGTGCGTTCACTGAGCTGTCAGAGCGGGGGTCACAGCAGCGGAGGATGGTACGTAACGTTCGGTTTATCAAAACATATCACAATATTTAACGTATAACACTAGTGAATTTCACCTAGATTTTTTCAGACATTAAAGACAAGATGTTATATAATAATTGTTTAATGAAAAAACAATTTTGCCACAAGCAACCAAAAGATGTGCCTCAGACAAGAATCGAACCTGGGTTCTCCAGGTCCCTGTATTTAATGCTATCCATTCGGCCAACAAAGCACCTCTGGGCTAGACAGGTGCTGCGAGAGATGCGAGCAGAGAGAGAGAGAGATGCGAGCAGAGAGAGAGAGAGATGCGAGCAGAGAGAGAGATGCGAGCAGAGAGAGAGAGATGCGAGCAGAGAGAGAGAGATGCGAGCAGAGAGAGAGAGGCGTGAGCAGAGAGAGAGGTGAGCAGAGAGAGAGAGATGCGAGCAGAGAGAGAGATGCGAGCAGAGAGAGAGAGAGATGCGAGCAGAGAGAGAGAGACGTGAGCAGAGAGAGAGGGACACGAGCAGAGAGAGAGAGACGTGAGCAGAGAGAGAGACGTGAGCAGAGAGAGAGACGTGAGCAGAGAGAGAGAGCGAGAGAGAGCGAGCAGAGAGAGACGTGAGCAGAGAGAGACGTGAGCAGAGAGAGACGTGAGCAGAGAGAGAGACGTGAGCAGAAAGAGAGAGACGTGAGCAGAGAGAGAGAGGCGTGAGCAGAGAGAGAGAGAGGGAGAGAGAGAGAGAGAGAGAGAGCGAGCAGAGAGAGAGAGAGAGTGAGCAGAGAGAGAGAGAGAGCGAGAGAGAGAGAGAGACGCGAGCAGAGAGAGAGAGGTGAGCAGAGAGAGAGAGAGAGATGCGAGCAGAGAGAGAGAGAGCGAGAGAGAGAGAGAGAGAGAGGAGCAGAGAGAGAGAGAGAGCGAGCAGAGAGAGAGAGATGCGAGCAGAGAGAGAGAGATGCGAGCAGAGAGAGAGAGAGCGAGCAGAGAGAGAGAGAGACGTGAGCAGAGAGAGAGGGACACGAGCAGAGAGAGAGACGTGAGCAGAGAGAGAGACGTGAGCAGAGAGAGAGACGTGAGCAGAGAGAGAGGGACACGAGCAGAGAGAGAGACGCGAGCAGAGAGAGAGAGACGTGAGCAGAGAGAGAGACGCGAGCAGAGAGAGAGAGACGTGAGTCCGCGTGTCTATGGTCCGCGCTCGGAGCCCAGACGGCAGTGCGTTCACTGAGCTGTCAGAGCGGGGGTCACAGCAGCTGCTCTCGGGGCCAGAGCGGAGGATGTAACGTAACGTTCGGTTTATCAAAACATATCACAATATTTAACGTATAACACTAGTGAATTTCACCTAGATTTTTTCAGACATTAAAGACAAGATGTTATATAATAATTGTTTAATGAAAAAACAATTTTGCCACAAGCAACCAAAAGATGTGCCTCAGACAAGAATCGAACCTGGGTTCTCCAGGTCCCTGTATTTAATGCTATCCATTCGGCCAACAAAGCACCTCTGGGCTAGACAGGTGCTGCGAGAGATGCGAGCAGAGAGAGAGAGAGATGCGAGCAGAGAGAGAGAGAGATGCGAGCAGAGAGAGAGAGAGATGCGAGCAGAGAGAGAGATGCGAGCAGAGAGAGAGAGATGCGAGCAGAGAGAGAGAGATGCGAGCAGAGAGAGAGAGGCGTGAGCAGAGAGAGAGGTGAGCAGAGAGAGAGAGATGCGAGCAGAGAGAGAGATGCGAGCAGAGAGAGAGAGATGCGAGCAGAGAGAGAGAGACGTGAGCAGAGAGAGAGGGACACGAGCAGAGAGAGAGACGTGAGCAGAGAGAGACGTGAGCAGAGAGAGACGTGAGCAGAGAGAGAGAGACGCGAGCAGAGAGAGACGTGAGCAGAGAGAGACGTGAGCAGAGAGAGACGTGAGCAGAGAGAGAGACGTGAGCAGAAAGAGAGAGACGTGAGCAGAGAGAGAGAGGCGTGAGCAGAGAGAGAGAGAGGTGAGCAGAGAGAGAGAGAGAGAGACGCGAGCAGAGAGAGAGAGAGGTGAGCAGAGAGAGAGAGACGCGAGCAGAGAGAGAGAGACGCGAGCAGAGAGAGAGAGGTGAGCAGAGAGAGAGAGATGCGAGCAGAGAGAGAGAGATGCGAGCAGAGAGAGAGAGAGATGCGAGCAGAGAGAGAGAGAGATGCGAGCAGAGAGAGAGAGATGCGAGCAGAGAGAGAGAGATGCGAGCAGAGAGAGAGAGATGCGAGCAGAGAGAGAGAGACGTGAGCAGAGAGAGAGGACACGAGCAGAGAGAGAGACGTGAGCAGAGAGAGAGACGTGAGCAGAGAGAGAGACGTGAGCAGAGAGAGAGGGACACGAGCAGAGAGAGAGACGCGAGCAGAGAGAGAGAGACGTGAGCAGAGAGAGAGACGCGAGCAGAGAGAGAGAGACGTGAGTCCGCGTGTCTATGGTCCGCGCTCGGAGCCCAGACTGCAGTGCGTTCACTGAGCTGTCAGAGCGGGGGTCACAGCAGCGGAGGATGTAACGTAACGTTCGGTTTATCAAAACATATCACAATATTTAACGTATAACACTAGTGAATTTCACCTAGATTTTTTCAGACATTAAAGACAAGATGTTATATAATAATTGTTTAATGAAAAAACAATTTTGCCACAAGCAACCAAAAGATGTGCCTCAGACAAGAATCGAACCTGGGTTCTCCAGGTCCCTGTATTTAATGCTATCCATTCGGCCAACAAAGCACCTCTGGGCTAGACAGGTTTGCACGCACTCTTATACCTGAGCGTCTAAGTCGCTGGCAGAGCTAAAGCGGACTTAGCCTGCCACCTTGTGGCGATAAGATGTACTATTTTTCACGCAGCTGCGTGATTCCCGAGAAGCGTGAATGAAGACGACAAAACGGAATGGGACCTACTGTAGACTGTGTCAAATAGAACATTTAACACAAATCATCATTACCCTTTAATTTCATTTCAAAATGCCACTGTCTTCAATGATTCACCATCAGTCTGTAAGCCTGAAAATAGTATAACAGAAGAAACAAAAGAGAACGTGAGATTTGTGGTATTGTGAAGTGACTCAGCCAGATCTCTGCACACTGCTGGCAATTTGGAGGTTTTGTTTTCTTTTCAGACATATTCTTTGTCATTTTTGCCAGCGTGTTCCGTCTGTAAAATGTTCTTTTAGTAAACTTGGTGACGCGGAGTTTAAATGGCTGTTTATGTGTTGTCCTGAGGCAGTGACAGCACGGCCTGGCTGTCCTCATGGCAGACATTTGACCTGGGGCAATGGCTTCTCCCTCCCTCCCTCTCTCTCTTCATGTCTTCTTCTTTCTCTCTGATTACTCCCCCTGTTTTTGTCCCTCTTCTTTTTTTACACTTTGCCCTTTCTCTTACCCTGTTCCATGTCTTGTTCCTTTGCCTTTCAACCCTTACAGATTTTTGAGTCCTCCAATCCATCATATATTTAGGCCTGCCATAATAATAACTGCACCGACTAATGATCGATAGGACATGTGTTATTGAAATCAATATTTATCATGTTTGCAATAGTGAATGAAAAATAAATATTTGTCATTAACAAACAACAAGTACATGGTTCGAAAATGAGTAGAATTAAGTCAATCTTACTGGTCGAAGTTATACCAAGGGGAGGGACTATTTTGAATATATTATTGTTGAAAAATACTTAGTGTCCCACGGTCTTTTAAAAATGAAATTCAATTTAGGTTGCCGACATGCCTGTAAAGTTGCTATATTAGCACTAAATCAACAAATAATTATCTTCAACTTCCCTTGGTCACGGTAAAAGGTCAAGGACAGAGAGTGGTACCAACGTTCCCTCCCAGAGATCTACTTTTACAAGACAAAAAGGTCAGAGATCTAAACGTAACAGTGGCCACAGGAAATTGAGTCCTTATAACTATGACAGCTACTCCTAATAAAACATTTTAACATCTTATTAGGGTATTTTTTTACACTTGATTCAATCGGCCATGATGCATAGATACAGGGCACTTTCACTTTGATACAGTTCAATACATTATATTTTCAAGCGTTTCGGTGTGATTAAAAATGAAAAAGGTCTTTAGCCATTATCCAGCGCCCGACATTTGTGCATTTATATTGCTATAAAGATTTAATGAAGGTTGTATAGAAAAATATTCTCAGCCTCATGCATCTGTTTGCTATGTATGGGTCTTTTACTTTTACAACATCCATTAAAAAAAAAGTATTTATAAATCAAAATATCCAAAAAAGAACACGGCACATTTTAGGGTTAGGGTTACTAAATATTTTGTATTAGGTTAGTTATTTCTAGATAGAAATAAATCATATTGTACCATATTTATCTAGCACACAATTTGTAATATTTCATTGTAATACATGCGTCTTTCTTCCTACTAGTTCCCCTCTGTTCTTGGCTCTTTGTCCTCTCTGACTCCATCCCTGCCCCCTTCCCTCGCTCTCTATGCACTCTGCCTTGAGACTGGGACGGGAGCACAAGTGACTTCAAATTACAGTTTTCAGCTCATCCGCCCACTTCATCACTTCAGAGAACGACTTGCTCTCGGGACGGCTTTAACAAGCACTTTTCCGTTTCATCTAACATTCACAGCTTTTGTCTCTCTTGTTTCGCTGTTCACTTATACCTTTTTGTCATAAGTATGTGTTTGTTTCTTTCTTCACTTTCCCTATTTTCTCCTTGATCTCATGTGTGCCATGCTCCTCCACTTGCCCCACCCTTTCCAGGAGCCACAGACAACTGTCATCCATAACCCAGTGGACGGGACAAAGGTACACGCCATTCAAGCTGCCCAGGCATTCTCTGTTCCATCATCCTCCTCTTCTTCATCAATCACTTCATGCAGCAGTGTGGCTGCTGTGACACAGGCTCACACTTCCATGCCTGGGTTTTTGCTGTGGTTGGAAAAAATATATATATCAAATTTGCCTGGTAATGTTAATGCAAAGAACTGACATTTAGCAGTGACTCATATTATTGACAACGCATTTGAATTCTGTCTCTCACCCGCTTGATCTGTTTGGTTAGTATTAATGCATAACAGTTGATTTGGGTTGGAATTAATCTGCATATTATAAGTCATGTACTGTGTAAGATGAGGAGAAGGAACTAGGTTTGATTCTCATGTAGGATCTGTCTGTGGAGATGTATAATTTATTTCCATTATTGACATAAAACTTACAATGCACTACCCACTTTGCGGGCCGCTTTGGTTTTGGAAGTAAAAATTCACATTAATTTCCCCCTCAGGAATTTTCAAATATTAAGAGTTTGAAGACGGAGACTATCCAGCTTTGTGTTTTTTTGTTTTTTTTCATCTTAAGAAGCACAATCAATCTTACAGTTTGTGTGGATTTTTATAACTGGGATTAAAAGGCAAGAACAGAAAAAATGGGTTTTGCTCAACTTGCTGTCATTTTTTAAATAGAGGAGAACAAAATGTGATGAATATATTATTGATAGAATTCTCTAAGTTCTTTTTTTTTCATGTATTCAAGGCATTAATGAATAGTCCCAATCTTCAAGCGTTTCCAACATTTTAATCTTTGCAATCTCTGTGGGGAAAATGTATTTGAATGTTGCTTATGGATCTACATGGTGGGGGAATATACTTTGCAGATCCATTGACTAAAGTACTTGGGAAAAAAAAACTGGAAACTTTATTATGTATTCTTATATATTCTTGACAAGTGGCTTCGAAGGTTAGATCGAACGCGAGGCTTTCCTTTGCACGATAAAAACAGCTAAGCATATTCCAAGGGTAAAGCACCAAGCTGTATCCTATGTGATTAGACTAGACATTTTTCCTCGTAATCCACCAGTCATGTTGTGTCACTGTCCTCTTTATCGCTTCTCTGTAAAACACGTTATTCGGTGCATGTAATTGTGTCGCGATCACGCCTAATGAGGTCACAAGCTCCTTCATGTTCCGGCGAGTTTAGGTCCATTTCAACTGCTAATTGGAGTTTAAACCTCAAAGCTCCAATGGCTTAGTCCTACAGTATAAGAACCAGGGGAGAACGAGTGGGGCCAGGGGCTAAACTTGGCCGACCATCGAGGCTAATTTGGCCCACGACAAGGTTCTGAGAGTTTGAATAGATTTTTCTTTTCTTTTCATGTACAAATTGTGAAATAAGAAAACCTTGTAATAACAGACCGTTGAACATGAATGCCCCCACCCACCCCAAACTCTAATTATAGTAGTATTGATTTTGTTGAATTTTGCACTAAAAAGCCTGAGCTAGAGATTAAGGGGGATCCAGTAATATCCCTTCATAAGAGACTTTAAGACAATTTAATCCTTATGAATATAAAAGGCAAGACTAGCTTTTTAGACTAGCCCATTGGTGTTCATTTTGGCACACAGAGGAAAAAAGTTTGGGCGCCCCCCGTTTGGTAGATTAAGATCAATGAAACTAAAATGACCAGATACAGGGTTTATGTAGACATAAATACATTCTTTGTAAATTGAGAAACAACACTTGATACTTGTTGGAGCAAGTTTTGAACGTTCCTTGAGCAGTTTTAGAAGAGAATTTTTGATGTTAATTAGAATTGGTATAAAAAATAAAAAAAACCTTATATTCATGCACATATTCTTGGACCAATAATTTCCTAAATATAACGTATCCCAAGTGTATCAAAAACATGCAAGTTTCACATTTCTACAGTGATTCTTTAATTAATTTATATTTGTTAGAGGCTGCTGCTTTTATCTGTTTTGAAACGTATTTGCTGGTTTGTGCGAACGTCTTTCATTCACATAACTGTACGAGGCCAAAGCCAAGCCAAACTTCCCTTTTTGTTTCAGGAATCATCGGACAGCAGCAACACCACAGTGGAGGATGAAGACGTGAAAGGTAAATAACCCAAGTATTTTCAATTATGGACCACTCAAGTTTTCAAAGCTTTGGGCCTATAAATGAAGAAACATGATGGTAAAAAGTGGTAAAAAGTTGTATAGGAACATGTTTTGTGTGTGTGCATTAGCCAAAGTCAGAATGCTGAAAGTGCCCCTCACTTTGGATAACCAGGTCTTGCTACTAAAACCATCTTGCACTTAACGCTAAAGGGCTGTTTTTGTTCTGGCACTAATTTACAGTAGAGGCAGAGGCATTATCTGTGGCTTTGTTTTGTGTTTTGTTTAAATAAATTAGGGAATGTGAGTGTGGATGTTAAAATGTCAAAAGTGATCCATTTGAGCCACTAATTCAGATTATGGCGGCATGTGTGGGCTTGACTTCCATTAGATGCACTCTAAATTAGTCACTGGCATTCCTGCTCTTTGCTAACTCGATAGTGACCTCTGTTGGCGCCTCTGGGAACTGCCATGTGGTCTGCTGCAACATTGTTAAGAGGCCATAGCTCAGAAAAGCCATTTGTCTGTATGTCTGGGAGTTGTGTCGTGGCTTTTCCCAAAGTGTTTGTTGTAATCCGGTACCAAGAATTGCACCTCTCCAATGCACCCTGATCCATGTGCTGCCCGCGTGCCATGCAGTTTGTCACCACGGCCGCCTGCTGTTAGGAAGTATCTTTAGAACATTGCGTCAGGCTTCATATCCAGTGTCTATCTTTAAGCTGTGTGTGTCAATGTGAAGGCTACCGTGAGAATAAACGGTTTCTGTTAATGCTCTCGAAAGGCGCGTGCTCTCCACATCTAGGCTGAGCACAATGCGTCTAAATCAGGTCAGGAATGGAGAGATTCTGTGCCAAGCAGACAGAACAAAATGTGCACATCTCTCTGCTCACTGCTGTTGGATCATGTCACACATGCTTTATCTACTTAGACAAGCAAAATCAGAGCGATACAGAAAGATGAAAGACATGATTTTTTGACAGGTCGATTATTGTTTGCTTTTTAACAGCATTTAAACTAAAGACTAAATTAACCATTGGAATCATACGTTTGGTTTGATGCAAATGTTCTCTATTTAGCTCATGTCTCGTGGGTCCGTTCAAATCTGGCCTTAGAGATCCTCTGTATTAGATGAGTATACTGTAGTGTCTTCAGTGCAATTTATTTATTTTGTTGTTTATTTTGGTTGGGACAGTGCATGTCAATGAACACACCTGTGCGGATTGTACCCTCGGGCTAATTCGCATCCGTTGTCCCACATTCGTGCTCACAAACACACACTCATTTACCCTGAACTATTGTACATGTTTTTAGTAGTAGGAGAAACCAGAGTTTACCGAGGAAACCTACGCAGACACGGGGAGAACATGCAAACTCCACTCATAATATACTGTTTTTGAACTAATACAAAAGTAAATGGCATGAAATGTATGAAGCATTGACACGTCCCATGCCTTAAAGGAAAAACTAGAAAATAATGTTTATTACGTCTATGTAAATGTCATTTTGAGACATCTAACATCTAGTATATGATTAAATTGGGAATCTGTTTCAATCTACAAAGAGAAAAGACCTATGTAAAATGTGTAAACCTTAATATATTTTATCTTCAACAGGTGCCAGTGTTGTTTCTTTTTTAACTGTTCTGAACTGGCACATATCAATAAAATCATCTATAAATGTTTCCAAATAAGTGAAACTAGGCGAAACATTATTGAAACATTTTAGTTGTGTGATAAAGTCTGTAAGGGTTTCATGTGAAAACGGAAATCTATTTTTAAAGCTCAACACTACTCGCACAGACAAGAATGGTAATTTCATACACGGGAGATACATATTTCGTAGTTGTCACATTGGAGCAAAGGCCCACCTCTCCCTGTTAAAAATTTAGAGGGCACGGACACCTTGGGAGGAGGGTCAGGGCTAAAGAGGGAGGCTTCTAAATTTACCCAGCGCCCCGTCGCAGAGTCCAAACCAGTCTGTCCTGTTAGCGCCACCGCGGGCTCACTGCCGTCTAGCACAGTTTTGAGCTCCTTAAGACACATCCGCCGAGAGCAGAGGAGGAGAAAAACTACAAGGGCCAGGTGAGTGTGGGCTCTCGGCATACTCCGGTCATGTGGGCGTCTTGGGGGTGGTGGGGGGGGGTTGGTCTCCTCGGGTCAGAGAGGGCCAGGCAGCTGCTCGGAAACCCGATTCCCGTGTGGCGTTTGGAGCATCCGACAACATATCTTTGTTAATACGTTCAATGTTTTTTAATAGAGAAGCATCACTTTTCTTTACTCTTGATGTTTTATGAAGCAACGACATGTCTGGACATATATAGAGCGACATTATCAGACACTAAGTTATTCATTTATACAGCCTTCATTTGTGTTTGTTTGATTTTTTTGTCATTTCTCTTTGTCAGTTTCATCGTGTTGGCAGCTCTTCCATTACCAACTCCGATCACGTCCTCAGCAATTACCAGCACCACCGTAAACCCTGCTCAAATTGAATAATATTATGTTATTATTTGAGAAAGGCTTTGTCAGTTCAAACTATATGAATAAAAATGCGTGTGACATGCTGGGCACATTGAGACATGTAAAGCAGATGGACTTTTTTGAGCTTTTGTCCATGTTACAACATTGTTCCCTCGTCAAAAACGGACCTGGAGTTGTTTTTAGATGCATCCACGCTAATATGAGGAACTTTTGGCACAAACATGTAACTCCGCCCCTTCTGTTTAAAACCTCCTGTCTCAGTTCTGTGTTAGTATGATGTCTTTGTACTTCTATGACATCACGCTCAAAGTATTGTCCCAACTCCACAGGTGATTTTTTTGTTTTTTTAAATCACATGTGTGTTGTCAGTAATTTTTTAATTTGGGAACAAACCGAAACATTTTAAACTAGTCCATCTGGTGGTAGCATAGGGAGTTACATGCAGAAAGCATTGTTTAACTTTCATACTTGCTTCAGCATATAATTGTACTTACGGGCGGCACGGTGGCTGAGTGGATAGCACTCTTGCCTCTCAGCAAGAAGGTCCTGGGTTCGAATCCCGGTTGGACCAGGGCCTTTCTGAGTGGAGTTTGCATGTTCTCCCTGTGTCTGCGTAGGTTTCCTCCGGGTACTCCGGTTTCCCCTACCACTAAAAACATGCACAATAGATAATGCATGCGCCCCCTGTAATGGCGACCCTGCTCCTATCTCTGTGTGGAGTGAGAGACAAATGCCCAAAATAACAATTGTAAACTGCTTTGAGACTCTGATCTGCAGTGAAAAGGTGGTATATAAATAAAGATTACTTAAGATATTTTTTCACATTCTAAAACATGAAATGACAAATTAATAGTCTCATAGTATTTACCATTAGCTTGTTGAATACATGTCCATACACATTACCTGAATAATCTTTCTACGACATGTACATTTTCTCGCTGTATATAATCCAAGACCATTTTTTAAACCTTAAACGCATTTGATTCCTATTTGCTCTGCTCCCATAACAACCTTGCATAGGGCTTATTTTCTCCATATAATGTTGTGCTTCTTCCTCAATGAAATGAATGTGTTTAAACCATGCCATATCTCACACTTGCTTCGCCGTTTGCAATCACTGTATGACCTTTTTTGTGTATTTGTGTATCACCTGTGTGTATGTGTGTGTTACTATAGGAAACTGCTCAGTTAAGGCCCAGCCCTCCCCCTGCTCCCAGTCTGTGAGTCAGGGTGCTGCTGTGCACTGTAAGTTTAGCATGGCCTCTGCAGATTCACACCATTAAAACCCTCCACCGTTTTTTCTTATAGTGGCATAACTAAAAATAATACACATTTATAATAATATTGTTGCTATTTCATACTACTCACAATTAAGTAAAATAGCGTATTGTTAATAAAGCATGAGCTGCTACTGTATTTAAAAGGGCTCAACAACACTAACGCTTTAGTCGGTATTTAACAGATATAGCAATAAATAATAAACAGCCATTGCTAAGTTTGCCGTTGTCTGCTACTGAAATGCAAACTCTACACAGAAAGGCCCTGTCTGTAGTGTTAATGTAAAATAGTGTAAAATTAGTGTAAATAGACATCTGTCCAAACAAATAACCGCTCTGTAAATGTTGTAGTTCACTTTTAGGAGCCTATACACAGTGAATACAGACAGTGAGTTTATGATGCCTTTATGATATTCAGTTGTTCTTAGTCATTCTGTTTATTCATTTCATTTCAATATTATCAAAGAGATAACATTTTCTCATAACATGACACGAGACAAAATCAAACACGGCTTTATACCCTTGTTCTTTGGCATCCTCCCCACCATTCGCCAACACCATTAGCCAGGAACACCTCCCATAGCTCCATCTAATGATCAAACTGGAGAATTCTGGTTTCAGTTGTCCACAATTTAATCAAAATTGTTGTATTGGTTATATGCAATATTACAATACTGAGTAAAAAAACATCTTCCTTCAATATCATGTGAGGGGATATTTCTGCTCTCTCCACTCTATTGCTATTTATAAATCTACAGTATGTAGTAATGGTCAGTGGTCATAGAAATTGAGGAGACATCCATCTACTATTGCGAATAGTACACACAGTCCTTTAAACAGTCTTTCTAAAATGCAGTGTGACATCACCGCATTCTTGCTTATTGTTTCTTAATCTTTAAGTATGAAGAAGGATGTAAAAAGTTCATTATGTGTTCTTATGAGCATATGAAAAAGGTTCTTGTTGGCCGTGTATCTCTTCTTGAGCCAATAAAACAATACTAGCACAATTCTCTGGGGTATCGAACTTTGATTTCCATAAATAACACATTTGTTTGTCTCAAAAATCTTGTGAAAAAAGTCACATTTTGAGAACAAAACAGACTGCATCTACTTTTTTAAAATCTTTTGCATACTTGTAATAAAGAGCCCTACGAGTCACTATTTGACGCTTTGGGTTGAGAGCTGAATGGCTTAGACAAGATGGTCCTCTCTTTTTCACTTTTCAAAACATACAACAGTGGCCATGTATATGAAAACTAGTGACAAAACAAAGGAGTATATTGTTAAAAAAATTGTAAAAAAAAAAAAAAGCTGGGTGCCCCAGTTTTAAACAAAGTGGGGTAATGATTACATGATTATTGTAGACCTTCAACAATTGCAGATACATACAAAAATATAACAGTGTTACATGATTTCAGCCTCTACATTCATGCACAAATATTGCATTATTCATTCTTGTTGTATCGTCCATTATCAGCATCACTGTCTGTCGTTATTAGTGTTGTTATTCTCAGTGTGGTCATTTCTATTCTCATCCCGACTCAGCCGCTGCTAAGTTTGCTGACCTGCTGGGATCAGTGCGTAGAGGTTCAGGGCCCACAGCGGACGGCGAGGCCCCCCCCTCAGCCTTCTCTGCCCCCTCACCCCCACACACCCCTGCCGTCCCAATGCAGAGTAAGTAACAGGGGCTCCAGACAGAGGCTACTGTCACAACGCACTCGATTATCCAATGATGTAATCCTCAAAAGGGTGCATTTGAGGAAGTCTAGAGTCCAGGCTTTTCATTTAATCAAGTAATCCTCAGTCAATACATAACAAGTCTATTAAATAGCAATACAATAATATGGGAAAATGACATATATAATCCCTCACCAGATTATAGGTTTCTGGATTAGGGATGAAACAATTACTAGAAAAGTATTTATTACCCATTTTATTTATTACCCATTCTTTGCCCAAAAGCCCCCACTGAAAGATCAAGGCTATGCTCACGCTCAGAGCAGCCGTCCTCCTGTGGACTCACCACCTGCAGAGGGTCAGTGAGGGGCTGGTGCTATGAGACTTGGGTGGCATCTCTGATTGCCACCCCCCTGACCCAGAAATGGATTAAAGGGTAGAAAATGGATGGATGGATGGATGGATGATTCATTCTTTAATTTGTTAAATTCTAGAATTACTCAAAACCATGTGAATCTGCACTTGTTTCACATGGAACTGCACCGTAAGATATGAACTGATTTTGAAATAGAAACTCTTTTATTTTCACCACAAATCATACTTTTTTCTAAAGCCTATATTCAATATGAATTCAGAGATGATTTTGTGGATCATATATGGACATACATGAGGACATGTATGTCCACCTCACTCTATCCCATTCAATCCAATTTTATTTATAAAGTGCAACAACACAGGTGTTGTTCATGGTGCACAGCACAAGTCTAGGGTATGTTCTTATTGGATACCATCTATAGTTTTACACAGATATTTTGTATGTTCATGAATATATTACAATTACATGTGACCATTCCGATTATCCTAATCAATATCTCATGCCCCTATAAATCTAAGGGGGGACTATATGCACATGCCCACAGTAATATCCTCACAACAACAACAACACACACAGCATCACGTTATAATGTTAAATGCATTTTTCTCATGGCCCCTGTCTCTCTCATCCTGAATGGGCTCAGTGTCCAGGCTCACAGACTTGGTTAGCAGTGTGCGTAAGATTCCTGCTCCTCCTTCGGCCCCCGCCGCCCCTCCCTCTGATAGTGAAGCCCCTGTGCCCAGTCCCAGGTCTCACCTGGCCTCAGCGCAAGCCACCCCCCCACCTCCACCTCAGCCTCCCTCCAGTCCCTTCCCATCCTCCGCTCAGAGTGAGTATGGTGCCTGCTGGTTCCCCGCATCATTGGATAACAACACAACAGCTTGGTGGATTTGATTGCCTGTGAGAAACTAACTGTTGCACTGTTTGGAGGAAAGTTAGTTTGATTGACCTGTGGAGAAAACATTAGAGTTGTTGCTTTTTTATTGTTTTGGTTTTTACGAGGTGGTGTTGCTGAGTGGTTTCTTCGTGTCACTGTGGCAAAGTGCTTATTAACAAACCACGACAGTAATGCATTTATTAATAAGAGTTTGCAGTTGTATTAACCATTTCTACCCCTGTATTGTGGTGGTTTGATGCACATGTTTACTCTTTTCTTTTTAGCACGCAAGCAAGAAATAATCAAGATCACAGAACAGCTCATAGAAGCAATCAACAACGGAGACTTTGAAGCTTACGCGTGAGTTCTCGTTTTGACCTGTTGTACCGAATCACAGTTCTCTTTAATTACATTGTTTTGATGCCTGACTAAAACCTCACATGCACAGAAAGCCATCCTGTCCCAATATTACTTTCAAGAAACGGTGCAAAAATGCATATTAATAATAATTCCTGTAAACATATCAAAAAGAGCCAAAGAGACCATTTTTTATTCTTCACAGATTGAGATTCCATCCACGTTCTTCTGATTATACCGTTGCCTGAGATTGCCTCTCTAAAAGGACAGCAACGCAACAAAAAAAGTTATTCAAAATTGTGCAATAATCACTACATCAGGACTATGATAAAAGGCAGTGAGAGTACAGCTGGCATTATCTCAGAATACTTACTTACAAGGTGCAGATAACATCAAGAAGAAAGACGTTAGATTGAAAAGCATGAGTCCACTCGTAATCACTGCTCTGACGTGTTACTAACCACCTGTTAACCTGTTTTTTATGTGCTGTAAGTAGTTAGCTGTAAGTCAAAAGGCTTTCTGACTGATGCACTTTTCCTCAGCATAACTTACAGTCCACAAGCAGCAGCTCTGCTGTGACATAGTGGTGACAAGCCTTTTCCTTTTGTTCATTAGAAAGATTTGTGATCCTGGACTGACATCTTTTGAACCAGAGGCACTGGGCAACTTGGTAGAAGGAATGGATTTCCACAGATTTTACTTTGAAAACCGTAAGTGTGTGTAAAAATCCCATTATTTATTAACTTGATTGACTTCTTTCTTGGACTTTTGATCATTTAATTTTATGAGCAAAATGCAAATACAAATCTTAAGTGTTGGCAAAATCACTGTGTGAGGGTGAGAAGACCATAAGGTCTTATTTGACCACCTCGTTTATACCGAAAAAAAGTTTCAATTATTGACATACATGTAATTACATATTCAGGATATAGAATGCATTAAATACTCAAGAACATGTGCCATATTCAATCTTAGGCATTGAACCTTATATAAGAACCTACTAACCACTGTGCTTTTCTTATATATGTGATATTTTTCAGTTTTGGCTAAGAACAGCAAACCCATCCACACTACCATCTTAAACCCTCACGTGCACCTGATTGGAGAGGATGCTGCCTGTATCGCTTATATCCGCCTGACGCAGTTTGTCGACGGCCAGGGGCGACCACGCTCCAGCCAATCAGAGGAGACTCGAGTGTGGCACCGTAGAGACAGCAAGTGGCAGAACATCCACTTCCACTGCTCCGGAGCGCCTGCTGCACCGCTGCAGTGAGGTACAGCTACACTGACCCGCTAAACCTCAGCATCAGTAATCATCCATATTCCTCACTATATATATTTTTCTTTTTAGGTTAAATGCCATGTTGTGTCTGAAAGGAGTGCTCTACTAAAAAAACATGAAAGAAGAGGAGGGAGGGGTGCAGTGTCATGTCAGGGCCTTTTCAAAACGGGTTACAACTCCCAGCATGCATCTCTTTCCTGTCCCTGTACCTGAACATCACCTGCCTTCAAACACGACTGTCGAAGCGGCCGACTCCAGACTTCCTCCTTTTCTTCTGTCGCACTGAGGAGAGCAGCACTCGCCATGATTCCTAGTTCCTGTGGTCTCCTCCCAACAGCCCTTTTGTTCTCACGTGTACATCCACTCTGTGTGACATTTACACTGCCTGGAAATACAGTATGTTTTAAGATGATTCTATTACTATCATACTAACAAGAATTATTACGACTTCACATTTGCAATTGTTTATGTACTTTGTATAATTCTGAATTCTTAATGCCAGTGGTTTCTAGAGTCGAGGGTTATTTGTTCTTTTAAGAAGCATGTTTTCCCATAACAGTGGCTGTTTTCTATTGTGGCTTAAGTGGAAAATGATATTGGCAGTTTTTGTAATTTGCTTATTGTTTGATATGCTACAGCGCCCACTCGGAAGTATTCATGTTTGTTTGCATTGCTCTTTCTCACATATTTCTTAGCTTTGTCTAATAGTGTTTGGATGAGATTCACTACAAGATGCTTGTGTTTATGAGTTATTGTGTAAAATTTTAGTCTGGGGCTAAAAACTATCACATGTGCCCAGAGATGGATTTCTGCCTATGGTAAGCAATAGTTTTATTTATTTTTCGAAATGGCCACAAAAAATTATGTTCTTAGGCTGATATACTAATTTACATAAACAGCCTGACCGATTAAATCATATCGTATGTATTTATGAGTCCTAAAACGTCTGTAGGCTCAGAGATAGAACTGTCTGTCTGGGACGTGTGCGCTCTTCACAGGCCTGGGCCACGTGTGCAAAGATGTTTATGGTAAAGAAAACGAATGCTTTGTTTTTGAGGACATTCAGTTTCCTGCCTTCAGCCCATAATCTTTTTCATATGTGTTTTGTTCATATTTCTTTTTTGTTTGTGATACTAAGTGCTTGTGCCAGAGGGCCTGCTCACCGTAAACCTGTGGAGGTGTAATTGACAGACTGTGATGAAGAGTCAAACCAGGGAGCAGTCGGTTTGGTGTCCTCAGGTTTATATTTATTTAGAATATTTATTTATTTATTTTGCTGTTTATTTTAATGTGTGCTTTTTCTTATTGTGCAGCTCACTGTACAAGAACGGTCTGTACTTGTTTAAAAGGACTTTGCTTTATGGCTGTTTTTATTTTTATTTTTTTTAAAGGGGTTCCACCTGCACCCAGTTTGGACACTGCATGTGTTTTGTTACGACCAACTTGGTGTGCTTTTTTCTTCTTCTCAATGTTATGACATATTTTAGGTGTAACTCTATTTGATTATTTTGATTCAACTGGGCACTAAGGACATTTGCACAAGGTGAATTCATTTTAAACCACCGCGATACTCGTCTCTCACAGTAGCATTGTTGCATAGCTGTAGTCTGGTACTGAACAGTCCTGATTGTGCTCAACTCAACATGATCCACGATGGTGAAAAAACGCGCAGCATGTGCAGTTCAAACGTGTCGTCCTTCAGTTTTCACGTGCTTACTTCTGTGCTTCAGTATAAGACTCACTGTACAACAACAGATTACGACACAAATACATACAACGTAGCTGGCATTTTCTTTGCATGACAGTCAACGAGGCACTTGTTCTTTTACCGTTTTTCTTTTTGTTCATTTTCTACTGAATGCTCGTATACTCGAATCTTTATGTATTTTTGGAGCTTTTTAAGTGCATATAACTATTTTTGTGTCAAGATGAAATAACGAAGATGTTTAGAAAGTTTATATATTGACTGTGGCCCTATGGTTGACTATGGGGAAAGTGATGGTGGTTATTCTGCATGCCTGTATGGTGCTCTGTGTTGCCAGTGCAATTGGCTGCCTTCTCTACCTTTTTAAAGAGAAATCACATTTGATTTTTGAGTAAAATGAGATGAACAATTACACCGTGAGCTCCAGCAGGGGGCACTGCCATTCACTTTAAAGCACAGGTAAAAACGGCACAACGTTTCCTCGGTTCTCCAAGCATGAGACAATCCTACACAGTTTCTACTTTCACCGTTGTTCTTGTATATATTTTGTAGATGAGACATGATCCAAAATAATCTCTAGCTGACTATAGGGGTATTTGTTATGGCTCCAGCTCATGGATGTATTCGCTCCACCTGCTGAAGTCACTGTGCTGTTGATTCAAATTGAAATAACTCATAGAAGCTCCTGAACTGCCTTAGACAACAATGCACTGTCAACACTGAGTTGGGTTGCGTTTGTTCGTACACCCTTTCCTGGTGTTTCCAAGCTTTCCTTTTCGTTTCTATATCTGTCTTTCTTCCCCATCTGTTTGGGTTTATCTTGTAAAATAATCCTGATCCTTACTCCTCATATTATTGCTCTGTTCTCTTATGTGCAACATGTTTCCCTTACTTCAAAAAAATGTGTTAAGGTATTATCAATAAAACAGAAAAGATATGTCGACCACAAGGCTTTGATTTTGATTCAATGTCCTGGTATGGGACAGGTTCACAGCATAACAATAATTATGTGTTTACTTGCAGGCCTAATGGCACCATAATTTTGTAAATGTTAATATCACTGATACGACGAGATGAACTTACCGAACTAATTGGTTGGAAAAAATAAAGGAGGTTAGCTTAAACAAAAACAAGACAACTTTTTCCTCCATCGGAAAAGCTTTAAAAACCATACATTTATCGTCTCCATTTGGTTTGGATATTATTTTTAACAAACTCACTTCCATGTTGTAATGGGTCTCTGTCCTGCTATTTGAGAATACAACCTACATACTATTACCAGCCTGGAAATGTGATAAAACCAAACTTTTATTCAACATAAATATGAAAAATAAATAACAATTCAAATGAAAGTATAAAAAACCGTACAAAATCATGAATTAGAGGTATGCGCAAATTATTTAAATAAGTAATAACAAAAATCAAGACAAGTTTACCAGCCTCTCACTGGCCTCCCAAAGTTTTTTAGCCACCCCAGCATCTCTGGCAAAGGGGCGCAGATTGGCCAGTCTACAGTCCACAAAGTATCCTCCGCTGTGTTTAGCGACTTCATCAGACACGGCACAATACACCACGCTCTGAGCTCCGACCTCGCACGACACGAAGAACAGCCGCATCACCACCTCCATCAGCATGCGGAACAGGAATGAGTAGTGGCACGTCCAGCCGCTCCGCACGAAGCCTGCAGAGAAAACAAATGCACAATGATAATGTTTTTGATCAACTAGGTAGTATTTTGAAATAAAGTGTTGGAATGGGTCTTTATTTGTTATAACTAGGGATGTAAAGATTCTTAAGGAGCTGTAAGCAATAATCATAATTCCGGTTGCTATAGAAGTGTACAACATGAAAATACAGTGACTGCGACAATTTTAGAAGAAACGACACATTTCCACATCTATTCTATCTTCTTCTGTCAAAGAACCAGTATTTTGCCAATAGAACCAGTAAGTTGAGTCTGCTTCCAAGGACAAAAGCCTTCAATTGTCATAAGCGTAAAAAAAAAAAGCTTTCTCTGTTTCTAAGTTTGTTCCATATTATGCACATTTTACTTGAGATTCTTCTATACTAAAATACACATAACTATACCATATTTTAGTACTTGGTAAAGGAATTTTAACATGTTAGATAAAGGAACATTTAGGTTTTTACTGTTCTCTGGTCAAGAGTTTGTTTTACTGTTTTCTCACAATAACCATAACAATAATAATAATACATCGGTTTTATATAGATTTCAGGACACTCAAAGAGGCTTCACATGTCATCATTCTTTCACTCCATACACAACAGTGATAAACTACAACTGTAGCCACAGCTGCAGACGCAAGGTAACTAGTATGTGACATCGGCCCCTCCAACCATGCCCTGCCATACACGCACACACCAGACTCATTTTAGGCAATGGGGTGAAGTGTCTTGCCTAAGGACACAATAACAGTTTGGCACTTTACAGCCGCAGCCGCCCCACTGTGGTACCTGGTGTTTCCGGAGGTCTCCCATCACAGTAATAACCAGACCCTGCCCTACACGGCTTCAGATGTCTGACAGAATCTGGCTTGTGCATGCAGTTATGGCCATAACACTAAACTTTGAGACATCCGTAATCATGAAATACATTCGTCCATTTTACTGTTGAATGCGCTGGAAAATGGCAGCAAGTCCTAAGTAGCTCTGAAACAGTTGTTTTGTGTTTTACAATTTGTATTTTTCTTGCTTTTTTCTACCTGAGATGTTGCTGCAGTAGTGTTAATGGTTTTGCACGGGTACAGACCGGAGAGGAGAGGATTCATGGTCCGAACCAAGTGGATCGGTGAAAATCCACTGAAGGAATGTTAACTTTTTGAAAAATGCTAAAGAAGCATTTAGCATTTTTCATTGGACTAGAGCAGAGAAAATGGTCGGAAACCAAGCGGCTACTCCAACTTGTGACCTGTCCTGCTCCACCCAGAGGCTACTCCACATCTGCTGCTGTGACCCGTCCTGCTCCACTCATCTATCAATCTATCTATCTAGTTGTAGTTGGATACAAACCCACCTGGATGAACTGCATATGAGGTGACTCCTTTTCCCTCGGTGATGTGAGCCAGCTCCTGACTGAAGTACACGTTTGCCAGTTTGCTGCGGCTATAGGTGAAGAACGGCAGTAGATTGTAGTTTAAATCCTGAAAGTCCAGTTTCTGGTATTTGTAGATAGAGCAGGTCAGTGTGACTACTCTGCTCGGGGCACACTCTTTAAGACGAGGCAGAAGCAAATTTGTTAAGAGGAAATGACCCAAATGGTTCACGCCAAAACACATGCTGAATCCATCGTCCGTCCAGTCTAGGACACTGGGCATGCCTGTGGAAAAGAAAACATTAAGTCACGATGGAAACTAAAATGTGATGTATCAATAATGGATTTGGTGTAGGAAGAATAACAGTATATACGTTCGACTGCTGACATTATTACAATAAAGGGATGTCTTTTTTTTTATTTCTTCTTTTAAGTAATTTGTAAATATGGCTAGTTTATAACATCTTTATTAACTATTAACCATGTTAATGTTAAAAGAAACCCTTCTTCATTTCTCTCACCTGCATTGTTTATCAATATGTCAAGCCTCTTTTCAGCTTTAAGGAACTTCTTGCAGAATTCTCTGATTGAGTGCAGATTGGCCAGGTCTAGCTCCATGTGAAGGATATTAAGACTGTGGCTCTTGAACTTGATTTCTCGAACAGCTTTCTCTGCCTTCTCCACATCTCTACAGGCAATAATAACACGGGCACCTCGACGAGCCAAGGCCACAGCAGTCTCTTTGCCTATGCCTGAATTTCCTCCTGGAATGCAGACATTAAATGACACAACAGAATAAACAGCAGTAGTTAACATGATCATGCATACAACATTGATAATAATAATAATAATCTACTGACCTGTAATAAGAGCGGTTTTGCCATCAAGCCTTTTAAAATCTGTACAATACTTCCTCTTTTTCATCCACTTCAAGACAAGAAAGGAAACAAGGGAGGCAATAATGGTGTACAGAAGATACATGTTGAAACACTACAGCTGCAAAAGCTAAGATGCTGCAGCTGTCAAGCTCGCGTTAGCTTTCAGCTAACAACACTTGCTAGCCTAGGTTTAAGGAACCAGCGATAAACACAGATCTCACTTTACGGACTAGATTACTATCCTCCTAACGTTCGCTACATAATATAGGGTTTAACATGCAATTCAGTTTTAACTTCAGATGAGTACGATTAAATATCTACTCGCCGGTCTAAGCGCTGGCCATGATCATAGGCAGTTGACTGCATCCGAAATCAACAAACATACCTCTTCTCTCGTCCTTCTTTGTTCTTTATTGACTTTTTATGAACCAAATGAACCTTAGAGTGAAAGAAAGTAAAATTTAAATAGGTTTGAATGCCACTAAGACCCAAAAACGTAAAAAGAAATTACATGTAAGAGCAATGAAGGATAAAAAGGAGGTATCAATGCTGATTTCGGATGTAGAGATCCATTCATGATGTGGATGGTTTAAAATCTAACTGCGCACGCGCAAAAGTGCTAGCGAGATTATAACAAGATTTCCATGTATTACTTGGGTCAGCCAATCAGCTATCAGCCTAAAGCGTCAAATCATAACCCTCAAGACTCTTTCTTACAAGTTGGCAATAAGATAAGTACTTTTTAAGTGGAAAAAGTTTGGTACTCCAGCGTGTTTCATATTCATATTCGGATATGATGACACTTGTGGGCCAATGTACAAACCAACCAACAGGTAGGCTTCCACACATTAACATATGTATTCACAATTCGGGTTAAAATGTAACCTCGAAACCGTGCAGAGAAAGACTTTCTTGTTAGAATGACCTCTAATACTCACAGATCTGCAGTAACTTTTCTGTAATCAACACCTAGCTGGGGCTTTGAAAATGGACCCAAACTGTGGTATATTGGCAATTATAATAAGCCTTCTCCTTTTGCTATCGTCTACAGCATCTGGTGAGTAAATATTGTAATAATACGTAATAATGATGCTAACTCAAAATATTGTACTTTCTTCCTTTTGCTTTTTCCATGTTAGGTGAATGGTGCAGAGGAAAGTGTGGCTCTAGTCTTTCTGACTGCTCCTGTCAGGCCTCATGTGAGTCTTTGAGCAGCTGTTGTGCAGATTACAACCAGTTCTGTTTCCAGGTGAGCCCCTACTCCAGCTCAATGCTCGGAGGAAACCCCCTCATAATCATCAATCTTGTTCTTCCACCACATGAACAACTAACATGCAGGTATGTCGCTAATACTTTTGTACAACTACAAGCCATCAATGAGTTCTTTTGATTTTAGATTCAAAAGAGAAATCATTCGGAGTGGGACTGTTGACGCCGAAGGTCGAGCATTCTGCTTTTCTCCTTTGTTGTATGAGACAGGGTGGATTCAAATGGACCTTTCTATTGGAGAGGGTCCTTTTGAAAGATCGGGAGAGTACCTGTCTGGTATGAAGTTAATCATAATATATCATGATTTGTTTGGTAGAAATTAGTGTTTTTTATGTCTGGTGATCTCGATTCCGTTTAAAATCAGTAATACAATTCTTTCCAAATTTGATAAATATTTTTTTCATCCGAAGTTTAAACTATATTGATGGTACTCTAGTACAATCATGATTATATTTATTTATTAACAAGGGGATAAGAATAACACATAATTACAGTGTTATGTAGTTACAACTGAAAAAATATTTCATAATGACACTTTTTGACATTAAGCTTTATAAATCTAGACTATATCCCCAATAAACATTCAATTAACTAATTAATATATCAAACAATACATTATTGTCAAATGTATTGAACAATTAAATAGCAGAGAGTCGTTTATGTGTTATTTAAACTAGCTTTGCTTCTTTTCTCTTTAGTCCACCCAAGCAAAACCAACCCCAATTCTGAAGTTGTTCTTGTGAATGGAACAAAATGGCACAACTATGGATCTCAGAACATCAGCGGACAGCTTGAAATGACCTGGAACCAGTCACTTGTTGGAGCAGATGCAGTGAACATAGAATTGTGGGGGTTTGAGGAGGTCTACATTGGGAATGAAGACACAAATGAGACATTTCCTTATGAAGCTAGCATCCGCTACCTCTACTCCATCGGCACCAACATTCCCAACACCGGTTTGTTCAGCTTCGTCCCAAAGTCTTCACGAGAATACTCACACATAGAGTTGGGCAACATTCGAATAACTGCAATGTCTGTCCCAAAGGGAGCAAGGTCAGAAAAATAATTTCATTTTTTCTCATATTTCTTTCTTCTTCTTCACTTCACAGCTGCTGTGTGTTGTGATTTAGGCAAGCATTGCACATTTAATATTTTGCATGTGTGCCTAACCCCAATTCGATTCTTCTCTTGGACATAACCTCTCAACATGTGGCTACAGGGATGTGGCTGCTTTGTGGAGCAGAGGTCACGTTATAGCCTGGCACCTGGAGGAATCCTTCAGACAAGACTCGGCAGCATGGGCCCAGAGTAGATGTCTAAAGTGGGACGTTCTGGAGAGGACCCTGCCCAACTTCCTGAATGAACTCATGGATTGTCCATGCACTCTAGCCCAGGCCCGAGCTGACACTGGAAGGTTTCATGTGTGTTATGGTTTTAAATTTGTGATAAGGCAACAATATGGCAAAAACATAATAAACTATAGTATAGCATGAAGCATTAGCATAATTTCATAAACATAGCTTAGACATAAACTTATGCTCTATTTCAGACCGACTATAGCTGTAACATAGAGACGGGCAGTGTGTGCACTTATCATCCTGGTTGTGTTCACTGTGTCAGATCAGTCCAAGCCAGGTACTATAATAATATAGTCTAAATTAATTATGCACTTTTATTAATTTGTAAAACTGCTCCTTTGTCATGTTCACAGTCCTACATACGGTGCTGGCCAACAGTGCTGCTATGACCGTTCTGGTAATATTGTACTGACCGGTGACTCGACTGGTGGTAGTACCCCTGATCGGGCTCATGACTGGGGTTCTCCGCCTTATGGAAGGCCTCCACGGGTTCCGGGCTACTCCCACTGGCTCTACGACGTCATGAGCTTCTTCTATTGCTGTCTTTGGTCAAATAATTGCCCTATTTATCTGAAGAATCGTCCCTCAAGTGGATGTCAAAGCTACCTACCGCCACATGCAGGCAAGGTTTAAATCTGAATACAACAGTGAACTTGGTGGTACAGTAGGTACTGGGTTTTATGAAATTAAATTGCCAGAAAACAGATTATGAAAGTATTTCTTGTGCTGTCAGTGAAGAATAGAAAAAAAAACGTAATTACACACCAATTTCTGCAGCTGATATTGTACTCCTGTTACTGAATGCTTCACAGCTGTTGTCCTCGGAGACCCACATTTTATAACTTTTGATGGATTCCACTACACTTTCAATGGTGAAGGAGAGTACAGCCTGGTCTCATCTCCAGATAAAGAGCTGCACATTCAGGCCAGAACTGAAAAGGTGAAACTCAAAAATGGTAAGTGTAGTGCTGTTGCTGTCTTGAATGGACATTAAATCAAATGTGACTGATTTTCTGGAAGACAGTTTGCCTCCTGCTTGTCACACTGCAGATTATATTCTTGAGAATATTCCTTAGTGTAATTATCCATCTTCATGGAGACATGTCATTTATACCACCAGATCATGGTACAGGTCCAGAGCTGAGAGACAATCTCAAAAAATAAGAAACATATTACAACACTAAATAAAGTCAGTCATACTATATGTTTAGTGCCAAACTGGGGAACCGTAGGGATAATATCAATGTTGACAAGCAGTCGAAAACATTATTATTGAAACTTAAACAGGTATTTATTCAGCTGTGTGGGTTTAACTACTCAGTTCAATAACCCTTGTGTTTTGGTCTGTTTTCAGTTAATTCTGTGTTACAGTTCTGGTTTCTTTCTATCCATTCTGGTACAATAAAACTCAAAATAAAATTGTTTGAAATATGAATTGTAAATTATGAATTATAGCGGTCAAAAGATTCAACATGCAACTGACCATTCCTCCTCCAATATTTCATGTCTACCCATCCAAATTCAACAGGAAGGAGTGGTGCTGCTCATAAGATGCAGTAATGATGCAGTTTCTTGAAATATTGACTTCAGTGGTTTGACATTTGGCAATCATAAAAACATAGAGTCGTTATTTGTGATGTCATGTGATGTGATGGTTCTGTAACCTCAGTAAAACGAGGAGATGAACAGACGGCAGCTTTATGGATGTGACTTTCTGCCAGACCATTACCTAATCTCCTTTGGCCTACGGACTAAAGATGTGAATATAGATGTCATAAATTATGTACTCATTATCTCTTTAAAGACATCTGGACTGTTCAATACAGAATGGATACAAAATGTGATATCAAGTATACCTTTGATATACAGTGAAAGTATTCGGCCCCCTTGAACCTTTCAACATTTCGCCACATTTCAGGCTTCAAACATAAAGATATAAAAATTATTTTTTTTGTCAAGAATCAACAACAAGTGGGACACAATCGTGAAGTGGAACGAAATTAATCGGATAATTTAAACTTTTTTAACAAATAAAAAACTGAAAAGTGCGGCGTGCAATATTATTCGGCCCCCTTGCACTAATACTTTTTAGCGCCACCTTTTGCTGCAATTACAGCTGCAAGTCGCTTGGGGTATGTCTCTATCAGTTTTGCATATCGAGAGACTGGAATTCTTGCCCATTCTTCCTTGCAAAACAGCTCGAGCTCAGTGAGGTTGGATGGAGAGCGTTTGAGAACAGCAGTCTTCAGCTCTTTCCACAGATTCTCAATTGGATTCAGGTCTGGACTTTGACTTGGCCATTCCAACACCTGGATACGTCTATTTGTGAACCATTCCATTGTAGATTTGGCTTTATGTTTTGGATCATTGTCCTGTTGGAAGATAAATCGCCGTCCCAGTGTTAGGTCTTTAGCAGACTCCAATAGGTTTTCTTCCAGAATGGTCCTGTATTTGGCTCCATCCATCTTCCCATCAATTTTAGCCATCTTCCCTGTCCCTGCTGAAGAAAAGCAGGCCCAAACCATGATGCTGCCACCACCATGTTTGACAGTGGGGATGGTGTGTTCAAGGTGATGAGCTGTGTTGCTTTTACGCCAAACATATCGTTTTGCATTGTGGCCAAAAAGTTTGATTTTGGTTTCATCTGACCAGAGCACCTTCTTCCACATGTTTGGTGTGTCTCCCAGGTGGCTTGTGGCAAACTTTAAACGAGACTTTTTATGGATATCTTTGAGAAGTGGCACTCTTCCATAAAGGCCAGATTTGTGCAGTGCACGACTGATTGTTGTCCTATGGACAGACTCTCCCACCTCAGCTGTAGTTATCTGCAGTTCATCCAGAGTGATCATGGGCCTCTTGGCTGCATCTCTGATCAGTCTTCTCCTTGTTTGAGATGAAAGTTTGGAGGGACGGCCGGGTCTTGGTAGATTTGCAGTGGTCTGATACTCCTTCCATTTCAATATAATTGGTTGCACAGTGCTCCTTGAGATGTTTAAAGCTTGGGAAATCTTTTTGTATCCAAATCCGGCTTTAAACTTCTCCACAACAGTATCTTGGACCTGCCTGGTGTGTTCCTTTGTCTTCATGGTTCTCTCTGTGCTTTAAACAGAACCCTGAGACTATCAAAGAGCAGGTGCATTTATACCGAGACTTGATTACACACAGGTTCATTCTATTTATCATCATCAGTCATTTAGGACAACATTGGATCATTCAAAGATCCTCACTGAACTTCTGGACTGAGTTTGCTGCACTGAAAGGGGCCGAATAATATTGCACGCCCCACTTTTCAGTTTTTTATTTGTTAAAAAAGTTTAAATTATCCAATAAATGTTGTTCCACTTCACGATTGTGTCCCACTTGTTGTTGATTCATGACAAAAAATTAAAATGTTATATCTTTATGTTTGAAGCCTGAAATGGGGCGAAATGTTGAAAGGTTCAAGGGGGCCAAATACTTTGTACTGTATATACAATTATTATTATACTGTACGCAGCCGTATGCAGCATTGAGGTTCATGAGATCCGTGATTCTGCACATTTGTGAAAGTGGATACAAACATTTATTTAACATATGGCTGGTTTTCATTTTTGTTTAAAAAGTAAGAAATTGTTTTTTTTTTTCAGCTAATAATTAACTGCAATTAGGTTACGTTAGCATTTTTCAATGTATGAATATAGTTGCAAGCGCTAGTTAGCATGCTTCTAGCAGATGAAAGGAAATGTTTAACATTTGCCAGCTAGCAATAACAAAGATAACAACTGTAGTGGCTCATTTAAACCACAGTGAGAAGAAGTGAAAGTCTCTGACACTGAAGACCTGGGAAGCGTAATCCAATGAAGTCCATTAATTGAACACAACAAAACGTGAACATTACAGTCTCTTTCAGCAGCAGGTAGAAAATCTGTGCTCCCATGGCCCCACAGTCTATGGTCCCACGGTTTATGGCCCCACATTTTATGGTCCTACAGTCCATGGCGACAGTAGCTCAGTTGGTAGGCCTTCAGGCCTGAAGGTAGTGGGTTCAATTCCCACCTCTACACCTTCTCCACCGACTCCCACTGATGACTGCTGTCGTTGTGTCCTTGGGCAAGACACTTAACCCCACTTTGCCCAAAGGCTATGCTCACACTCAGAGAGCAGCCGTCCTCCTGTGGACTCACCACCTGCAGAGGGTCAGTGAGGGGCTGGTGCTATGAGACTTGGGTGGCATCTCTGATTGCCACCCCCCTGACCCAGAAATGGATTAAAGGGTAGAAAATGGATGGATGGACAGTCCATATGCCCACAGTCTATGGTCCCACAGTCTGTGGTCCCACAGTCCTTGCCCACAGTCTATGGTCCCACAGTCTATGGCCCCGCGGTCTATGGTCCCACACCTGAACTCAACTCCAAATGATGACATCACAGGTATCTTAATAATGGGAGTGTCCCAAAGACTAAAGCTGATCTCCCTGTTTTTAAACTTAGATTTGCACAGTTGTCTTTTGCAGTTTATAAATCATTGTGAAATATACAGTAACTTAACATTTTAGAATTATTTTAAACTCTTTTAACCTTTTAACCTTTTTTAGCCCATTGTTAAAAAAGCATTTTTAACTGTTTTGGCTCTAACAACAACCCAACTGAGCACATAGGGTCGTCTCGCTCTAAAATGCGTTCTCTAGTTGGCAAAGGCATCTCCCTTTCAGCTGACCAGTGCCAGCTGTTATTATTATAGATCCATGGTGTCAGCAGATTTGGTGCAAGCAGGGTCATTAGCCATTTGGTATTTGGTAGCTATAATTGGTTATTTCAACAACAGCGCATTATGACGACACTGGCAATTCAAAATACAGATAATATACAAAATATACCTAATAAATTCCACTTAGAGAAAACTACTTACTTTCAAACTGTCTCCAACTCTTTTGACGTGGAAATTATATACGTATGTATCTAAAAAAAAAAAAAAAAGTGTGCAGACTGTTTATTTACTATAGAGGGTGAATAGAGAAAGTAAATTGAATGTCATATCAACGTCAACTGGAGGTTATTGTTTTGCACACAGATATGCACCCTACACAGACGTGAATAAATTTGGGTGTTCAACCGACCGACGCGGTATGGACGTGATTGACGGTGTTAGCATGGCATTACGAACCCATCACAATATCTTCTGGTGGTGATGTAGGGCTTTTTCCCTCTAATTCTGAAAGGCCCTTGACTATGATGGACCCCTGCTACCCCTTTGGACCAGGTGGCCATGTGCTTAACATTCATTCCTGCTCTATGGGACGGTAAACATTCTCTTCTGATTGCAATGCATTTATTAGCCAGGTAATTAGTATGTCATCGTTATAACAACCTCTCACAAATTATGTTTGAGCGGTCCTTTTCACTTTTCTGTTTGTAAGGACTCTTTATTATTTCTCTTCTTTCGTTGACAGGGATGCCAGACGGTACTTTATTTACCTGCCTTCACCCCTGTTGTACTGACAAAAAAAAAAAGCATTTCTTTCCATTTTGCTTGTTCTCGGTCCTCAGATCTGGCCACTCCTCACTGTCGAGATTGAAACCTATTCTAAAAGCAGTGTTGGAGTGTCTCGGTCTCTCACACCAAGTAACACTCGTGCGACTGGATGTTGTCTCCTCTTCTTGTTCTTTCTCTTTGCCTGTGTTTGCCATCTCTCATTGGCTGGCTCACTGTGAAACTCAGGAGTCGCCTGAGTAGTATCTACAGCTGCAGCCTCTTGCACCAACATCTCTGGAGGAATGTCCTGAATCCTCTCCATCGGTGCAGAAGCTGGGATCTTGTTTCTGAGGACGTGTTTCAATGAGGATGTTACTCCAGGCTTTGGGCTTCACTGAAGTGAAAGCCGCTGCCTCCTTCTGTTCAAACTTCCCTTTTATCTGGTCCCAAACCGGTCTTTTAGCCAGGATAAACTCTTGTGGAGCTTTACCTTAAGCATGTTGGGTTCTACTGCTCTGTTCTCTGGCGACATGTTCTTTCGTTGACAGGGATGTCAGATGATACTGTTTTTACCTCCCATCATCCCTGCTGTACTGTCAAATAAGAATAAGAATTTATAATGTCGGATTAGATGTTGTATGTAGCACTGCGTTTCCATATGAATGTGCATTTTTTCTCGTCTCAGAAAAGTGTAACAGTTATGCACATACATCCCAATCCACCTGAAGAGAGTGAAGACAAATGTATGTAATTAAAGGCTCTAAATGCTTGGCATTTCAACCTCCCGTTAAATTTGTGAGACTTCAAATGTGCATTCATTTGTGATGGAAATTCAGTTACTTCGTCAAATGGGCCTTAATGGTGTCGAATTTGATTTCTTGTTATTGCTGTGATTTTAGGCCTTCTGTCCTACTTTTGTCATGACAAAAGGTCTCGTAGTCCCTCTGTCCTTCAGGTTTTGATTTTTCTGGTGTCTGATGAACACTTTGTTCATCAGACACCAGAAAAATCGGAAGGAACTGAAGTCATGTAATTAACATATATGATTTGGTTTCTTTCCATTTTGCTTGTTCTTGGTCCTCAGATCTGGCCACTCCTCACTGTAAAGATTGAAACCTATTCTAAAAGCAGTGTTGAACCTGTGTCCTGCGGCAGGTCTCGGTCTCTCAGAGGTTTCCTTAGGTTTGACAGAGTTCTCCTCCTGGCGCTTGTACACTTGTGTTTTTCCATGTGTCTCTCGTGCCACTGGCTGTTCTCTCTACAATTAATTTTTAAGCTGTAATTAACTTGATTAAAAATTTGAATCGTTTTTTATTTAGTTTTTTATATATTATTGGTCATTGTCTCTTATTGTTTTGTACAGTATATATTTGGCATAGAATAAGTTCTACTGAACTCTTTATTTTACTCTCAGTTATTATTTTTGATAATGTTACTGCTCGGAGGGCTGGTCACCCCCAGATTACACAAAATAAAAATTCTCCCTTTTTTCCCCCAAAGAGAACACCAGGACTCCCTGCCCTCAGCAGTAGGCTCACCTGTTACGAGCTGATAATCAGGGAGTCTCTCAAAGTCTGAACATTACACCAATGATATTCTTATTATATTAATCCACTATACACTCGATCAAATACATTGGACCACAGTATTTGCGTACAGCCTTAATCACGATATTATAATTAAAGTACTGTGATTCTGAGTGTCACAAATTCACAATTATTCACAATGTTTGAATTGAATTCCAGTCCAGTGTAATAATAAACTTCTTAATCTCAATGTAAAGTGAATGTGACACAAACAGACAAAAAATACAGCTGTAACAGGTCCTACAGTACAGGTCCTACAGTATGCACTCTATACATTACAAAACCCTCATGTGTCCATTTGGTCTGTAGGTTCTTCAGCCAGTGCCACACAGCTCTGCTCTGTAGCCATGAAGGAGGGGAACTCTGATATTGTTGAAGTTCGACACATGCAGAACTGTCTCCAAGTGTTGAGGAACCGAAAGATTCTGCCGCTCAATGAACAAACATGGATGGACCTGCATGGTACTTTAACTCACACACATGAGTCATGACACATGAACATGGAAATATAGTCATTTTAATCCAGATAAATATGTGATGTTAAAAAGTGAAACACAAAGTTCAGGTGAATAATAAAGATCTCATAAATAAGCCATTGTTTGTAAGCACATAAAGATTGTGCATTTTGGTGATATAGTGTATAACGTCGCCTTGCCTATAAGCTTTCCATTTGGTGTTACACTTTTCTGAGGTATGGTCTTAACTTGGGCGATGTACCAACTTCAGATGGTTACTTAGTGTTGGTTTACACTACACGCACATACAGTAGACAAGAAAACCTTTTGGTTGAAGGGTCTGCCACTTGCTTGTCTCCATGTAAATTGTATTTCTTTGTATGGATTGTTCCCAGATTTAGTGTAAACTATAATGAGCTCCTTGGATTTGTTTCATCATGGATCATAAGTTTTTTATATGTAATTTATTCTTGTGTCATCACCAATATATAATGTTTTCCTATTGAGACAAGATGGTGCTCCTCCACTCTAATGTTATGACATTTGATTAATTTCTTTTAGGCTTCTTTGTCTTTACGCCCAGTCCTCAACACATTAGAGTCATGTTCTCATCTGGCGCTGGCTTAGAAGTTCATTTGGATGAAGGGATGATGTCTGCCACTGTTCTGTTGCCCTCGGAGTTCACAAATCACACCACAGGCCTCTTTGGTGTGATGAACTCTGATCCCTCTGATGACCTGGTGTCTGAAAAGGCCATCCTCTCAGCCCACACCCCAGAGACTATCTTCAAGTACGGAGAAGATTGTGAGTAAACTAACACATAACTGTTCCACTTGTCTTTCTTGTTGTGTGCCCTCTGTCAGATTTGTTTTCCTGTACTTCCTTTCAATTATTTAGAATTTATTTTATTGGCTGTTTTTTCTTCTTCTTTTTACTAACTGTGCAACCCTTTGTAAACACTGTTTTTGAAAAGTGCTATACATCCATCCATCCATCTTCCCCTTAATCCATTTCTGGGTCGGGCAGTGGCAGTCAGAGCTGCACCCAGTACACAGAGCACCAGCCCCTCACTGATCCTCCTGCAGGTGGTGAGTCCAGGCAAAGTGGGGTTAAGTGACTTGTTAGTAAGTAATCTTTATTTATATACCGCCTTTCACAGACCAGAGTCACAAAGCGGTTTACAATTGTTATTTTTGAGATGGGAGCAAGGTTGCCAGTACAGGAGGCGCATGCACAGTCCTATTGTACATGTTTTTAGTGGTAGGGGAAACCGGAGTACCCGGAGGAAACCTACACAAACATGGGGAGGACATGTAAACTCCACTCAGAAAGGCCCTGGCCCGGCCGGGATTCGAACCCAGGAACTTCTTGCTGAGAGGCGAGAGTGCTATGCACTCAGCCACCGTGCCGCCTAAGGACACAACGACGCTTCAGTGAGAGTCTTGACGTAGGTCTTGAGGTGGGCTCAAACCCATGACCTTCAGGCTCAAAGGCCAATGCTCTACCATCTGAGCCACTGTCGCCCCTGTGCTATACAAATAAAGATTAATTCCACTCCTTTTCAGACGGACTTAGTTGCCTCATTCTAGGCAGACGAGTAGAATACAGAATACAGTAAATGTTGGTTGTTTGTTTTTATGTACTTTTTCTTTTATTAAGTTGCCTTTGCTTTAATTGTTCTATCGCCCCCTGAATAAATAAATAAATAAAGATTAATTATTGGGGGCGACAGTGGATCAGTTGGTAGAGTATTGGCATTTTTGGCCTGAAGGTCGTGGGTTCATGCCCACCACAAGACCTTCTCCACCGACTCCCACTGACGTCTGCTGTCATTGTGTCCTTGGGCAAGACACTTAACACCACTTTGCCTGAAGCCCCTGCTGAAAGATCAAGGCTATGCTGTTACCGACGGAGAAGTCACCCTCCTGTGGACTCTGTGAATTGGGTGGTAGATTATTGCCTTCACCCCAACCCAGAAATGGACAAAGGGGACGAAAATGAATGAATTAGTATATTTTTTGTTATAACAATGCTCACTATGCTTTTGTTATCCACAGGGAAAATTGCACCAGAATCATCGCTGTTCACTTATGATTCCACGTACCTTTGGGAGACTTACCTCTCTCCGGCAGCTGGAAGGCCTGTCTTTGTGCCAGTCTTTTCCCCTGAGCCTGAGGACCCCGAGGACCCTCTCGTGATCAGCATGTCCACATTGTGCACTGGAGATGGAGCAGACTTCTGTAAATATGATACACTGCTCACGCACAGCCTGGTGGTGGGGAACTCAACACGCACAGCCTTCGAGAGCCACGTGGCCAGAGTTAAAGACCTGAAACCAGGTATTGTCAGTTACTGTTTACACACCCAGTCATATTCTGGAGATTATAACACACACACTTTTATCCACTCATTGCTAGTGGTTGTATGTTTTCAATTAACAGTTTTTGTATTTTCAAACTATACTTAATTCAGCCTCTCTTGGGAGGTCTCAAACGTGCAGTTCATACCAGGCTGCCCAGGAATTTACTTTTTGTCAAGAATGAGCAGCTTTTCCACCACAGAGGATACAGAGCCTCTTCCACAATTATCACAAAAAGCTGTCATGGATGTTAAAGGGGGAAAACACACCATTGAATACTGATAACATTTGATTAGCTTCTGTGGTCTTTATGATTTGTAAATAGAAAACGTGTTTGTTTGACAATAAATGGCTTCACACAACTACTAATTCACTTTGGAGAGACCCAAGAGGAAAATGCAGTTAGAAGTTTATTGATTGAGTATGTTTGGCGCCCTAGGCCCGGGAGAGATGCTGATGAGTGCGGCGCTTGCTCGCGCGCATAATCCCCCCCGGGGCCTAGGCACTGGTGACGGCAGAGGCAGCAGGCGAGCACGCTTCAATGAGAGAAGGAGGAGGTGGGGCGGCGGAGGCTTTGCAGACTTCAGAAGGCCGGGAAGTGGGCGTCTCCGGCTTTTAACTTGCTGTCCTGGTGGTTGTTGGTGGATTAGATGTGGGCGTTTTGCTGGTGTAATGAGTAGAGGATGAGCAGGCTTGTAGATCTGGCAGCAGTGGCCGGGTCTACCACAGTGAACTTTCGCGAAGAGCTTCATCATTAAGTTAAATTAAAGTTTTATCATTCATAATCTCTAAAATAAAGCCAAAAAAATAAATGACCTTGGTTTTGCTCAATCAGGTCAGGTTTTTTTGCTACAGAAATATTTTTTAAAATTGATTTTGTGTAAAAAACAAATTTCTGCGGATCATCAGCTGAGAAACCCTTGACGTTTTTTCCATTTTCCTCAAGAAATAAAAGTCAACGTATCAAAAGTCATTCAGTTTTTATTTACTCCATCAAATTTGATAAGCAAAATTCATAATAATTTATTTAACGTAATTTAACGTAATCCGTAACACTATGGCTGTATCTCAAAAAGTTGACCTGATAGAAGCAAAATGCATGTGATATTCGGACTCAGAACACCAAAATTAGTCTAAATCAGTTGAGAAACCCCTGACCATTTTTTGGCTGTCAACTTGTGTTATTAGTTCTTACAGCAGGTACATTAGAATTCAAGTATTATATAATAATTCTAGGATTTTCTTTTTGGGATCTTAGTGGCTTCATGTGGATGGCTCCCAGCACCTAAACATGGCAATAAGAATGGCAGTGGGTACCTCAGCGGGGACACGCTCAGTTTCTCCTGTCATCGGGACTTTGTGCTGTATGGATCTGCAGAGCGCACATGTCTGAAAGACGGGACCTGGACGGGGAGCCAGCCTCACTGTGTAACTGGTATGTGACTTTACTGCAGGCTTAGATACTCTTTAATGTAACATTATAATAGTCTATATGGTACACATACAAACATATATTATAAGTATCAACATTTTATACAGAAAAAACAACTATAGCTTGTATGTGGTCCCCTACTGCTCACTCATTCACAGAAATGCATTACATTTAGTTTAGATCTAAACAATTAATACAAAAACATTATGTGAGCCGTCAATTCTCACCAATAACTCCTTGGCAGCGCCACCTGCTGGTTTTGACTGAAGATGCATAAGTAACCTGAAGTAATAGCCTTGGCATCGGTTTTGATCTTGATTGATTAGTTCAATATTGAAGTCAATGTAACGTTTGCACTTATGTACTCATTAGCTCCTACAGATGGCAGTGTTTCCTGTTAGATGTTTAAACAAGAATCTCCTATTCTTTAGTTTAGTTACATTTAGTTTGAACATCTTAAAAAGGGCTGTACTTTTTGAACTTTGAACTTATTGAAAAGTGATCATAATAGTTAGATTAAAGAGTGCATATGTATGTGATCAATTGTACTTGGCTCTCCAGCCTCCATCTTTTCTATAATAAATTCTTGATTGTTATTTGTAATGAGTTGCATATGTGGGGCGCAGCTGCACACTATCAAATGTAGCTGGTTTACAATCATCCATACGTCACTGTATAAAAGTACTTTTCATTAGTCTTGTCTTATCTCTCAGCTTTTATTTCTGACACAGACACTATAACTGTTTATTGTTAAGCGTCTTTCTGCTGCACTTGGCTCCACAGCTGCTCTTCTTGTAAATTATCAAATGCTTGTCCTCGTCCTTAGTGCTAAATATAGACAGTGTAAAAAGCAAAAACAAACTGAGATAAACAAAAGCCAAGGCGTTGCGTCATGCCCAGGAGAAGTTTCTGGTCATGGATGCAATAGGGGAGTTAAAATCGAATAAAGACGCTCACTCTAAAAAAGCCAATTAAAAGTGCGTAGATCAGTGCTTGTTATTTGTAACTGTATCACACTTTTCACTCTCTTCTTTCTCATTAGCTAAATCAGAATTAATAGTTAACACTGAGCCCTGAGGTGGTTTTAAACAGGTGTTACTTTTCCCAGACTTAACAACAGAATGACTCATATTGAATCGCTGTGCTCTTGTGAAACGCTACAGGCATATAGTTAAATGTTTTATCTCATTAGGGCTGTTCGCTTTTTGTCTCTGGCATATGAATTATAAGGATTTATATGGGAAAACCACCTAGAGCGCAAAATAGCTCAATATTGACTGAAAGAGCTTTTGATTTGCAAGTTTATTTCACGTCAGTAAATATGGCTGTAGTTTTACTGTATGAAGTGAAATCTGGTACCTGGCAACGTTTTTAATATTGTTGTCATACCGTCTTTTCGCCTGGGCATTTCATCAGCCCGTATTGGTATTTTATGGCTTTTATTATTACAGGAACAGTCTTCATTGGCCAACAAGGAAATATGCACCCCACCAGGTTATAGCAGAAGATGTCTTTTTACATACACACACGGGTCATAAATTTGAGACTCTACAGAAAGGTCCAAAAGGTGTGTAAACAAACCCATGCAACTATGTAGAACAAGGCATTTCCAAATCATAACCTCATATCCCCGACAGCTATTAAGAAATCCGTCACATTTAGCTGTAAATTTAGTCATGTGAAACCATTTTTTTTCCCTGGTGGGTTTTTTACTATCAGATTTCATATTTTAGGAATCCATAATCCAACAAAAATGTCATTCTGCTCAAGTCTTCACTGATTCTTACTTCTTAGCCTAATAGAAAGATGTCTCCTTTCCCCATCCTGAGTCGGATCCCAATCTTTACAGGGAAAGTTAAGGTGATAAAGGCCCCTTTTGTCAAACTCCACCTTCAAGATTGATTTGAATGAGCTGCAATATGTGTCAATGAGAATTTTTATGACCTTGTGTTTTGACAGGGGCGCGGTGAGTTCTGATGATCAATGTTAATATCTTTGGCCGGACTCAGGGGAGTGTAAAATTGAATGAGGGTGTGGCTTCAATGGACGTCCTTGGAAGGTTTTTTCATCCAAGCGTGACTATGGCAAACTTGTATCCAGCCTTTTACTAGCTTGGCTTTACTTTCTTGTCACGACCCACCACCCAAAGTATAAGTCTTGTATTATAAGATTGTATTTTAATGGCATCCAATCGCTGTATTATATCCGTGTTATGTGTTATATGCATTTTTCAAACTTCTTTCAGTTATCCAAAACCACAGGATATTCAGGTATCATCATGAAACTTAGATGCATTAACATCACTTTTCTGGGGAGTATAGTTTGTCCTATTTTTTCAAATATAGGGCATAGGTTTGATCATCATCATTGCCCTTAGTTATCTTCATGATGACATATAAAGTGTACCTGCAATAATTGTGTATTAAATAAAAACATATAACTCCTGCATTTACCTTTAGGGCATATTTCTATAATGTTGTTATCAAGAATCCTTATTGTATATATTGTCTACTTGTCTTGGTGATATATACCTTCAAAATATTTCTTGACAAAATGACAAAAGTGAATGAGTTAAAGGAAAGGTGACAGACATAGGAGGAGGAGGAATGAAGCCATTTTCAAAGTAACGCAGGGTGAAAGATAAAAAGGTTGTTTAATTTTCTGTCCACAGTCTTGTTCTCAGATTTCTCTAGAGATAGCAAAGCCCAGAGTCACTGAAGTGTGAGGAAAATGCAGGTTGCGTACAGAAAAGAGGAAGAAATGCCAACCAAGGGCATTAGAAAACTTTGAAGCACATTTTTCATATTTGAGTGTCTTCTTCTCCTTGTGCGACCAAAGGCCACTCGCTGTTAAGATGCTGAACAGAATTATTATTGCTGTGTTCTCGGGTTAATCATCTCTTTTTGTCTGGTGCACTTTTGTCAGCTCAATATGGCCTCTGCTTCTGTGGCTGTGAAAAAGTCCTTTAGTGATAAGATGCTGTCTGAAAGTTACTAGCAAAAGGAGATGGGAAATGCATAGTGTGCTGCTGCACGATGTTTTCATTTCAAATCCGGTCATTTACAAAGTCTCAAGATCACGCTATATTTTCATTTCTTTTTTTCAGATGAAAGTAACTGAAAACATGCGTAACTTTCCAAATGATTCTTCTATCTATTTGTTGGATTGGTATTTTTTGGCCTTGAATGGTTCCACGGTATGGCATTAAACTTGCTCATTAACACAGATTTTGTGGGGGGAGGGGTATTCTGGTTGCTAAATTAATTTCCATTTAGATGGTGAAGACAGTAACGGGCTTTCAGTTCCTCGGTGACCGAAAACCTGTCGTGAGCAGTTTGAATATCGCTAACCAGTTATGGTGAACTCTGTGCCATCAGCAGAGTTAACCTCCAGCAGGTAAGGTTAGCTCTGAGAACTGTCCACTAATCAAAAAACTATGTTGTAAATAGGTCATAATACCAACCAATGGTAATTATGGCCAAAATATAGATCAGAATGACCAATCCAGTTGGCCAACCACCACCAATCATTCACACACACCAGACTCATAGTGGGCAATGTGAATTAAGTATCTTGCTTTGCTTCAGAACACAACAACAATTTGGCACTTTACAGTCACAACTACCTCACTGAGACCTAGAGGTCTCCCATCACATTACTAACCAGGTCCTGTTCTTCTTAGTTTATTAAGTTTGACAAGATTAAGCCTTTCACATGCAGATGGCTCCACATTAGACATATTCATAATTTCTTGAGGTGAAAAGTATGCAGGTTTCAGGTTGTGTTTTTAAATCTATCAACCTTGACCCTACTGACCACACTCCCTGCCCCCACTCCCCTCGCCTCTTTCGGCACTGAATCGGGTATTAATTATAATTTGGACCAATATATTGCTCAGTCTAACCAATCTGTGTTTAGAGTGCAGAGATCAGCAGCACCTACACCCCTCTCTGTCAAAGGAGGTTGGTATCATTGCTCCTGACCTCCACCTGCTGCCCTCAGAGAGGAGGTGCAGGTTTATACAGGCAGGACATCCAGACTGAGCAATAGCCTTTATCCTCAGGCTGTAAGGCTGTTGTGTTCTCCAAACACACAGCCTTACAGCTCATCTGGGGGAATTCTGAGGCCTTCCTCGTCCAGCTGAGAGACATAGTCCCTTGAGCATGTACGGGATTTTTACCGAGCAAAGTGCTCCTTGCATGGTGGTGTTAACCTACTACAGTAGCTACAGCTGCCCTGGGGCAAACTGACAGGCAGCTATTCTGTGCGACCCCCTCAACCACCACCTCCACTCACGAGATTCATACGGCTGCATGTTTTGGGTGGTGGGGGAAACTTCTTCCGAGTTAATTTGTGCATCACTTGTGCATGACTCCTGCAGCTGTTCGTACATGGAATGTTTAAAAAGTCAAAGGTTGGCCATCACATTCCAGGAATTCTTCTGAATTAGACAAGGCATCATTTTTGATGACAACAATGTTTATTTCAACAACACGCTACTGTTCCTATGAAGAATATAATATCATATCAGTGTTTTCAAATAAAGTCCTTGATGATCTTTCTGAAACCATGTGATTTTTGGTCAAGTGTTCATAAAGATCGAAAACAAAGATGATATAAAATATCCCTCCGGGTTTAAGTTGAACCATGTTTATCTTCACCAACTTTCATAGTTAGTTGTTTATATTATTGATGGAGTGAAAAATGTATAAATCCTTATTTTTAAGCTTTACAGTAGATGTTTTCTGCAATTGAGTTTGTTCACAGTAAGGTGACAATATAAGTTTCTGGACTTTAAAAGGTTATAACTTAAAAACTAAAATTACTATCATAGATTGGAAAAAAGATTTCAAACACAGACATATTGAAGAGATAGTGTGGATAAAATCAAAAGGAAAGATTGACAAATTTATTTTTGGCGACTTTTTAAACGACCAAATCAGCCTCTGATTTGACCATTCTCACGCCAGTTACATAGATAATAAAATGTCCTCAGTCTGAACAAGCGGAAGATGAAATCCCACAAGATTTACATGGTTAACATAACATAAGTAAATCACTTGATTTAAAAAGGAATAGTTTTAAAATAAAAAATAATTGATTAATTAAATGACCCTTGAAAAATGTCTAACGGACGTGATGGTTTCCGTCCTCTTTTTCTCTAAAAATTAAACTTGAGAAAAAAAAAACTGGTCTGGTTTCACATTTAATTGGTTGAGAATTAGATAAAATAAACAAGGCCGCTATAGGAAACTTGTCTAATGTATAAAACATATGTTATGTTCTAGCAACTTCTAATGGACAGAGGAGGTATTTGGAAACATCAAAAACATAAAATATCTGCTGATTATTAAAATCTAATTTTTGTCCTTTTGTCACACTTTTGTGCCCAATTAGCATTTTTTTTCTTTTTTTTACAATGGCAAATATACTGCAGAAGGGTGCATGACCATAAGGAAAATGCAGTGTTATTTCATCAGTGTATTTTGGAGAGACATTGGAGAAAAGCTTGTCAACTCATATAACGTCATGTATTTTTGATACTTCAATTAGTATGTTTGCCTTTTGGAAGCAACTTGTAATCCAATCTTTAGAAAACATGGTTTCTGCAAACGTGCATAAGAAAGAGCCCTGTGAGTCACTCCTTAACGCTTAGGGCTGAGGCCTGAGTGAGTCCTCTCTTTTCCAGCTGATCTAAAGATGTGACAGAGGTCAGAACTAGTTTGAGGAATGCTATTTTATATAGTTAAATTTTTGTTGTTTGAAAGCCAGGTATCCCAGCTTTAAATTAAGTATCCCAATAATAGCCAGGCAAAAGTAAAAATACGTTGTCAGATTTGCATGGTTTTATAAGTTATTACACTATCAGTATGCATGATAAAACATATTAGCCACTGTTAAACTTTTGGCCATTAATGGTGCTTTCCTTTTTTTCACAGACAGCCCGGTGAGCTTCATACTTGGTTCTATTGGAGCAGTCTCTGCATTCGTCACCATGGCGATAATGATCCATCGACATCTCAGGAAACAAGAAAGGTGACCTTTTTTATGATTATTGTATGGTTCAGAAATACAGTACAATATCCAGACAAGTTTTCCTTAATTACCATACTCCAGTGCCTCGTTTAACTAAACAGGCTTTCTTTACCAAATAGAAGCCCATATTTATTTACTTTCAACTTGTGTTTTACCCAGTTTGACTGCTTCGAACATGCTATAGTTTAGGTTCTAATTAAATGTAGAATGAGAGTTATATCTAAACTGAACGCCTGTGAAGCGAAGCACATGTTAGTGAATAGGTCTTTGTATTTGGTACTGTTTGCCGAAGGATTGGCGTCTAATCGATCCGCTCTTTTCAATAGAAAGCATTCCACATGACTTACTGAAATAGTGTCATAAATTATTGCAGCAGCGACAAGTAGACATGTGAGTTCTTTCAAGAGCCGAACGCTCCTTCAGTTCACTTCATTTTGAACTTTATTTTGCATTTTTTTGTATTTTCATTAGGGATATGGTTATAAGGTTTTTGCAATTTGTACAAGAAATATGCATAAAGGTGATCTATGTGGCTTCTCTGGTTGAGTCCACCACCTGCTTGTTTCCATAAATTTAATTTCTTTTTCCAGAATGCTCTACAGTTTATTAGTAATTCAATTTGTAAAATAGTATCCTGCACAAATAGTGTTTTTTTTTTTTTCAAAAACAATCTTATGTGATTTGTAACTTGGCATAGTGGAACATGTTTCAGTTCCTCCCATTTCTAGATAATAAATAATTGGCTTAACTAAATCTCCTTAGCTTGAACTCAAGCGCCTCGGGACAAAGTAAAGCATCTCCATAAAACATATTTCTTCCATCTGTGTAGTATTTGTAGTCCTGCGTATCCCGGTGTTACAAGCTCCTCTCATAAAAGATTTCCTCTGACTGGATCAGTGTAGCCTGTGGGGTCATGACAGCATCAGGAAAACAAGAGGCTAACACTCGTGCTAGCTCCAGGCTGTGCTCTGGCAAATTAAAGGCCTGTTTTATGGGCTCATAGACTTCATATGGGCTTTCCCCTACTTTATAACCCAGCAGTGAAGAAACAGCTCAGGCTGTCGGAGTCAAAAGAACCACGTCCCACCAAGACCCCGCCTCTTTATTGCAACCGCAGGACACAGCCCACCTGCCTCTGGGTGTTCCTGATCCGCCAGGTCAGGTGGAGGTGATGTAATACTCCTCCAAAAGCTGCCAGTCAATGTACATTTTTATGATTCAAGCTGCATTGAGTTTATGGTGCGTCTCCCCCATATGATAATGGGAGAGGCACAGTCCAGTTACACTTATAGTAAATAGTGAGTCGTTATTTATGTAGTGCCTTTCACAGACAGAGTGACAAAGTGCTCTACTTTTGTGGAATTTGTCTCTCACTCCACACAGAGATGGGAGCAGTGTCGCCACACAGTAGGCGCTTGCCAGACCTATTGTACTGTACCACTAAAAAGTGATAGGGGAAACAAGAGTACCAGGAGAAACCCGAAGCACCCGGAGGAAACTTATACAGACACAGGGAGAACATGCAAACTCCACACAGAAAGGCCCCATCTAGATGTGGAATCAAACCCAGGACCTTCTTGCTGTGAAGCACAAGTGCTAACCACTGCACCAACGTGCCGCCCGAATTAAACACATAATGTAATAATGTAAACTAAACTAAAATACGCACAAAATATACATATAATTTTATTATTGTTGCACAACTGTTATTTGTACTATTTTGTCACTACTCAGGGAATTATACAAGAGGAGTTAGCACACACACACACCTCATCTCAGTCGTGATGGTGGGGCAGAACCCAGATTAACTCTGATGAACAGTGCATTCTTAATAAAGCATGATTTATGTAAGACTTGCTGTCTGACATTATCTTACACTAAATGAATTCATCTGAATATGAAAAGTGTATACACATCACATAAGAAGGAGGATTGACCACACTCCTTGATTAGATAACCCTGTATTAAAGGTGATATCTCAGAATATGTGCTCGACCAGTTCAGGAAACTATACATCTGCCGTATGAAATAAAGAACATTCAGTGCAGACTAGTTTTTGGTTTTAGTTTGTATTTTTTAGCTATAATTTAGCTGCATTATAAACTAAAACATTTGAACGTACAAAGAGGTGACTTTGGTTCTTGTGTAGTTACAAATATGATGTTCTGGGAGTTCATTTAACCCTACGTGTGAACTAAAATGCTACATATGACACTAAATGCACTTGTGTTTTGAGTGATCTGTGCTGAAAGGAGCAAGTTTCTTTGTTTTGGTCATACATTTCCAGGACAAATTAAATTAAATTAAATTAATTAAATTTTATATATTTATGAGGCCCATAGTCTGGAACAAGTAACACCATAAAACTGAAAAATAGCTCAACTATCATGTGTCGTACTTAAGTAATTTATTTGACTATAATTTGCTTTATATTTTTTTAAACATATTTTAGTATTCACTAAGTAGCATGAATCTGATTGTTATATTTATGGGGCGACAGTGGCTCAGTTGATAGAGAATTGGCCTTTGGGCCTGGAGATTGTGGGTTTGAACCCCCACAAGACCTACTCCAACTGCTCCCACTGATGTCTGCTGGTGTTGGGCAAGACACTTAACTCCACCTTGCCCGAAGCCCCCGCTGAAACACTGTGTCCTGTGAAAACCCTCCCCACCCAGAAATTAATTAATTAATTTCTAGAAAAATGAAAAATGATTAAATGATTAAAAAAAATGATAAAAATGAATGTATGAATATATATGTAAGCTTTAGTTTTGGTCGAGCATTGCAGTAGCACTTCACATGTCTGTTATGTATGGTTCTAATGGGGTACTTTCCACATCCAAGAGAACAATACAGGTTCAAACAGGTTTAAAATACATTCTAACCACAGGGGCAGGAAAGCCATTACCCCCTGAGACACTCTGCTCTGCTGCGTCTACTTGTGTGCTGTATATATGACACATCAAACACCATAGGGGGCTTTGTCTGAACTTGGAGATGAGCTATCAGATAAAAGGATTACACCTGGAGGAATATGGGCAGTTCTATGTTTCAGATCACAGCAGATATGACACGGCAGATTGAAAAATAGTCTTAATAATATGTTATATATGCTTATGAAAAATACTTTATGTTTAATATCTACATTTTGTTCACTAAAGATATCACTGCGGATATGACTGAGATGATTCCTAACAAAACATATCATTGTTGAGCGTTCTGATAGGTTGGAAATATGTTAAAATATGTTGAATGATATAATACACACACATTGTATAGATTGATACTTTAGATAGAAACTGTGTATTGAAAACAGCTTCCTGTTACAGTGTTTTTTGTTTAGACAAGCTTTCTCGCGTCACTTTACTTAGGCCTCTGTGACCTGTGTTCATGACTGTTTCCTGTGTTTTTGTTTTAAATCTGACTTGTCTGTTTATTATTTTTATCTGTATGTGTTAAATGTGAAGCACTTTGGGATCCTGGTCTGTGAAAGGCGCTATACAAATAAACTGTATCTACTTACAGTACCAAAAGAATGGTTATTACTGGATAAAAAACTTTAGATAAATGTATTGCATTGGCATAGTCATGCACAATCTTATTTTTGCAATGTGTATCCCAACGTCTAGGACCAATTCAGTATTACATAGTAATGATATAGATGTTATTTGAATTCCATTATTGACCACGTTTGCATCTCTGTTTCCAGAGAAAGAAAAAGGGGTCTGGAACGGATAGAGACTCAAGGACATCCCTGATCAGCGTTGATTAAATCTAAAGGTATAGAAGGTATAGACTTTTGCTAAAAAGGGGGTACATTTAGAAACAATGTAAAATAAGTCTTATAATATGGGCCTTTTGATAACATCACAGCCTGATTATCATTGTTCAGAAGTGTTTGTTTTTTTAAATCACATTTCTGGTCCCTACAACTTTCAATTCCAGTATTATTCTGGACTGAAGCTGTATGCACAAGCTGTTTAAGAAATATTTTTTGTTTTGTTTTGTTGTACGTAACTACGTGCCTGGTGAGGCATAAATTGAGGCTTGTATAAATGCCCCTTCTTTGTAAAACTCAACACTCATGTCTTATGTTGCTTATAAACTGGAGCAGATGTGTTCATGCTATTGGGAAGTGAACCATGTATGTTCTGGTTGAAAGATTGTGAAGTTTTTGTGGTTGTCAGTCAAAGTAAGAGCTTTGATGAGGGACAGGAACAAAAGTTACATTGAGGTCATTAGGCCTAGACCTCGTCTGAATTTGTTATGTTTTTTCAACAGTATACGTTAGCTCCTAGTGAAATGCTGTAAGTGACTGGGTGATGGGCAGTGGTTGCAGAAGCTCATGGTGCAGATTGACCGCCTCACTGTGTCCATTCTACCCCAAGGGCAGCTGTGGGCACAGTAGTAACTGAAGATAATTCATAATGTACTCTAATTACACTGTATCGTATTGAGAGTTGTATACAAGTTAAACAAAATCATGATTTCTTTATGAAATCATGATTATGTACATTTAAAAGAAAGTGAAAGGGGTAGCTCCAGTGTAGACGAGTATATTTGCCTGTCCAGCCATTTCCTTCACACAGGCTGTGTTTACAGTTAGTCCCCTTACTGCAGAGTTCACTTTAATTGGACCAATTATGGTTCACTGGGTTGTTTCATTTGTGGAGATGTGAAACCTCCAAACAAGGGTACCCTGGTCCACCACTCCATTACTGTTCAGTTAATTTTATGACAATATGAGGTCAGAGTCTACTCGACCAACAGGTGCAAATGCGCTCAGGCTACTTGTTCAAACGCAGAGGGATCGAACAGATTGGTAAATAGACTGTCCACTCACATGTCACAGAGCTGAGAACACAAATCTCGCTTCCTAGATGGTTTAGTGATTGGAAGCTGATTGGTTCTTCCACTGTTCAATCGCACATAACCCTCTGCTTGGGGGAGAGACCCTCATGTACGGTGTGTGAGAATAATGAATATTTATCGTTTGGTTCTGGCTGGTCTGGAAAGAAAAGGATAGTGCTTTTCAAGAATATGGAGAAATGTTTAAACTGCAAGTGAACTCCTTGGTCCCAGTACTTCACCTTGTACATCTCTCTGTTCCTCGATGTATGTTGAATGTTTAAGTAGCAAAGCCGTGTTTCATTAATATATTATGACACGTTTAGCCTCAATATGCTATACTATTATCCTGTTTCCCTTTACACCACATGTATTTTCTGTTCTAATACTTGGTACAAAACAATACAATTGCTGACTGCACAAACTGTGTGTAGTTTTTGTGATCCTACCAAAAGACTTTCATATGACACAGCTGCTCTTCTGGACAGACCTTACCAACACTTTGAACCCGAGTGGCCTGTTTCAAAACACATCCCTGGAGGGGCCACTGACGGGGTCCCATGTGTCCGATCTCAGGCAGAGATAGGAGGGGGTCCAGCTGGAGAGGAACAGCGCGTCGTGGGGTGAGGTCTAATTGAAAGAACCTGGCCTTTTATAGACTTTGAAGTTGTGTGGGCACATGTTACTAGCTCTTGTGCAATGCTGTATCCATTACCGGTCTTTGCAGCGGATCATTGTTACTGTGCTGTCGTGGCTTTAGGGGGCTTCAGGATCTATTGTCTGTAAACAAAAAACATATAGACTTGGAGTTAACAGTGACATGTGGATCCATTTTGTCTAATTAACTTTAATATAACAGCAGGAATGGTCCAAATATCTGTACTTTACACAAAATAGCATTACTCAATGAATAATAAAAAGTAAACTCAGGAACTTGATCGACTATGTGCGAAAGGCCACAGCTACTCATGCTACTAGCATTATTCTGTCATTGCCATTCGTGGTTCAAATGTTCTTTTATGGGGGATCAAAAGCCCCAGTTATAGTTCAAAAGCACACTAGCACGTGACGACTCCAATGTTACAGTTACCTAGTCGTTGGTTGGCAAAAAACAGATATCTCCGTTTTGAAAATTTGTCGTAAAGTTGTCAACATGTTTTGTTTTTTACAGTGTATTTTTAAAAAAATGCTCAAAAAAGAGAAAGTTTATTTGCATGGCACTAAAATAACTACTACTACTAGTTGGTTAAGGGAAAATTGTAAACCTTTCAAATATCTCACTAATGGCACTTTTTTATTACAATTATTCATGCTTTAATTCAATTTTACTATTCTATTTTTCAATATATCCAGTGTGACTGTGGGAGGCATCAGGCGAAAAATACCATAGAAATATATAGAAAGCAGATGGCTGTACTTAACGCCATCAAAAACAAGGGAGCATTCATTTTGACCTCCGTACTACTTCTATAATAATGTATTTCTCTTCATCTGCAGTCCCTGAAGACAAGAAAAAAATGTGTCATTAGGCAAATCATTTCTACCACTTTATTTTTGGGTCGGTTTTGGGGCAGCTATATACAAACAAAGAGTGTGATTTGATCATGGACATTATAGCTGGGTTTCTTACTTACAAAAACTATTGATCAATGTAGTATAATCTAGTATCTGTTTCTATTTGTCGCATGGTGCCAGAAAATAACGCCGTGGCAAGAGCTCTGGTGTGTGCTGTCTGGTGCACACTAGGGTTGTCTTGCACAGTTTTTCCAATATGGTTTTATTGCAAATGGCAAATAAATTCTTAGATTTTGAAATTCCTGAATCTTGATTCTAAGACAGGGTGGTTCTATCAATAATTTTCACATGCATATCTTTTAGGCGACAGTAGCTCAGTTGGTAGAGCATTGGCCTTTGGGCCTGAAGGTTGTGGGTTCAAGCCCACCATGAGACCTACTTCACGACTCCCTCTGATGACTGCTGTCATTGTGTCCTTGGGCAAGACACTTAACCCCACTTTGCCTGAAGCTCCTACTGAAAGATCTCAGCTCCTGTGGACTCACCACCTGCAGGAGGATCAGTGAGGGGCTGGTGCTATGTGTACTGGGTGCAGCTCTGACTGCCACCTCACTGACCCAGAAATGGATTAAGGGGAAGAAAATGGATGGATGGATATTTTTTTGGCCAGTTTTTTCAGACATAAAAGTGAAAAAGACCACCTTCACTCAGCCAATCAGCTTTCAGCCCAAACAGTCAAATCGTGACACAAAGAAAAATCTAACATGTATTCTATTAAGAGGAAGACAGCACGTTAAGGCCTGATTTGTTAAAAGCAATATACTTTTAACAAGACTCTTTATGTTGGACAAACTACCAAAATAATTTCTTACTACATACAACATATTTTTATTGCCTGGACTGACAACACTGCATATCCCTTTTTATACACTTTCTCCAAAATACAAAAGTTCACATAAACCACAAGTGCGTGCAGTCTCTCTCGTAGTATCAGATCACATATTTACTGTGTAATCTTCTGACTGGCTAGCCCCTAATGTTGCTACTTATAAGTTAGGCAACGGGGCAAGCTCCCATGTTTATTTGCAAAGTCAAACACTGATTAACTGCGGAGAGATGAAAGTGGAAAGTTTTCATCTCTGTGGGCGCCTCAGTGTTTACGGCGCTTATCGTCACAGCAACGCGCCGCAATTACTGTAGCTCAATCAAACTCAAACTATAGATGCTAACGGGCTACAGCATGGAGGCCCGAAGCTTTCACGTGGGATTTCCCCCCACCGTCTCTGATCTGTCGTACATCCCTGGATCAGGAACAAAGTCTTGTGAAGAGGATTTTTTTTTTTTTTTTTTGGATGAGCCTTTTGTTTTGGGTGCACGTCTTTTGTTTCATGTTCTTGCCAGATTTGCAGGTGTGCGCGTCCTTTAAGGCTAATTCCTTGTGCTTTACTCGTGCTCTCTGATGTTATAACTCTGTTTTTAAAGAGTCTGTGGGCTGAGATTAATGGGGTGTATCTTGTTGTCACATGTTCAGGTGGAAAGTAATAATCTAGATAGTTAATTATAGCTGGGGTAACTAACTTTTGTCCAACAGAAAGTAAAAAGGTTCAATTCAGACCACAACATGCTGTCTTTGTCTTGTTTTAAAATATATGACGTCAGGGAAGTTTTTTTTACCACATTTTGTCTGAAAAAGCTGATCTAAGCAGGTGACAAAGAAAAGACAAGACATTAACATTTAACAACTTCATATGTTCTCTATTTTATCTTTGTGACCTTTAAGACCTTACTCCTGCTATCAATATTGTAATTTGCAAACATAAAGAAATACCAAGTTACCATGGATACACTTTGGTTTTAGCATCTCCCATCACTACTAATCATAGATGGCCTTCACAAGCATTTAACATAGCAAGCATAATATTATCGCATTATGCCATTTTTTTTCAACTGGTAGCCTTTAACCAAGCTCTTGAAGTAAAGCAAAGTTCTTGATCTCTGCTCTGCCTTATGGGGTTGCAATCCATCCATCCATCCATCCATTTTCTTCCCCTTAATCCATTTCCGGGTCGGGGGGGTGGCCAGAGATGCCACCCAGTTCACAGAGCACCAGCCCCTCACTGATCCTCCTGCAGGTGGTGAGTCCACAGGAGCTGAGATCTTTCAGTGGGAGCTTCAGGCAAAGTGGGATTAAGTGTCTTGCCTAAGGACACAACGACAGCAGTCATCAGTGGGAGTCGTGAAGAAGGTCTTACGGTGGGCTCGAACCCACAACCTTCAGGCTCAAAGGCCAATGCTCTACCAACTGAGCTACTGTCGCCCCAGTTGCAATGATTTACATATTTATATTTCGCCATCTTATATCACAGTAAATGAGCCTACAAAAATAAACAACATT